CACCCATTCGGTTGATCTCAATCGCTCGGATTTCATTTCGATCCCATACTGATAGCCAAACAAACGTTCTGCTAATGTCCTATTAAATCTTTCGACGATAGCTTGACTGCGGTGGGCCTCTCTTTCACCACGGACGATTTTGACATCGTTCTTTGTTAACAGTTTAGTTACCGATCCCATAAACTCGCGACCGGGATCTACTTGAAATAGCTTAGGCCATTTTAGCGGTCCACGTTTATATATGCGACTCAGTGCATTAGCTACCTCTGTTGATTCTTTCGATGTTAATGGCTCAGCCTCTTTGTATCGACTAGCCACATCCACTACCGTTAAAGCGTATTTGTACGTTTTGCGTTTTACCTTATCGTGGGGAAGAAACAAGAGGTCAGCCTGATGAACTTCATTCGTTGTAAAAATATCAAACTTCTTCCTCGGTATATAACGCGGTGCCGGTAAATATATCTGCCACATCGCTTGTTTCTTTAACCAATCCTTGGCCACATCTTTAGATACCTTAGCCGTGGTGGCTAATTTTTTTATTGCTCCTACACCTTTCCAATATCCTCGTGGGCTATAGTAAATTTTATCCATTATTAATTAATATTGATATTTCGTTTAATACGAATTATGACTATCGTTAAATCACATAATCATTTTGACATAAAAAATCCCCCCTGTAGTAGCAGTATAGGTATATGAATCTGGCTCCAGTGGAAGTGGTCCAGAACCATCATTACCTATACTACTCAACTCGAAAGGTTGCACGGGAATCACGCACGCACGAATACGGTGTTAGCATTAGATGTATTGATGTCTTTGCGCAAGCATCTTTCCGCTGATGCGAAAGGTTTCGTTGTTAAAATATTTGAATACTTTAAGGCTGAAAGTGAAAGACGTTCGCCCTTCTTTGACATTTCAAAGTACATAAAAAGAACAATTCATGCGTTACAGCTTCCCAAACAAACCGTAGTAAAGATTTTGAACTCTCATAAAAACACATGCTCCCCTGCACATCCCTTAGAGGGCATCTCAAAACAGGATAGGAAATTAAAGTTAGATTCCTTTGAAAAGAAAGTTGTCAGGGACGTGATTCGGCGGTTAACACGAGAAAATGAATTTATTTCAACACGAAAACTAATACAAGTTCTCCTTACAGAGCATGACTTAGATATTTCCAAATGGACCATTTGTAAACTCCTTTCCAAATGTGGATATCAGTACAAAAAGGCGAAAGGGTCGAAACTAGCAATGTGTGAACGACCAGATAGCATTCGTTTGCGTATCAATTATTTGCGCACTATCAAAAAGAAACGAGAAGAAGGCTATGAGCCTGTCTATTTGAACGAAACCTGGGTTAACGCCTGCCACACAGCGGCTTATCAATGGTCTCACCCAGATACCAGAAAGCCACAGCGCAAGATCCCCCCTGGTAAAGAGGAGCGCCTGATTGTCCTCCATGCAGGCTCCCACAGAGGTTTCCTCCCTGGGTGTGATCTAGTGTTCAGATCCAGATCTACAGATGGCAGAGACTACCATACCGAGATGAATAGTCAGGTTTTCACTGCGTATGTTGAGGAGCAGCTCCTCTTAGCACTGCCTGATAGATGCTTGGTGGTTATGGACATTGCTCCCTATCACAGTTGTCGAGATACTATTAACCGTTGTCCAACCTCAAATTCCACCAAAGGTGAGATATGTTAGTGGTTGGACAACACGGCCCACGAAAGCCAAAAAAACTGACTACTACCAACTGGCTCTTCAGAACAAACCCCCGCCCTCTTATTTGATTGACAACATGTTGAGAGAACACGGTCGCACGGCAAAATACGACCTTCAAGCTTGCCGACGTCAAGCAGATTGTCTTGAAAGGATGGGAGAAATTACAGATGTACGTTGGGCAAACTGTGTCCAACATGTTATTAAAGTTGAGGAAGAGTATTCGAAACAAGACTGTATCCGACCAGATACTGTCCAGCCTGTTGTTGTTCACTTAGGTGACAGCACAGACTCCGAATCTGACGACGAGGGCATTTCGTCGGACCAAGAATAGTGCAATACATATACCCCTGTTTCACTACGACATGTTATAGCCCGAATTACCACTGATATGAATTCTTACATATTCGTACATATTCTTGATCGTTTCTTAAGAATCCTAAATATATCTTAATTGATTCCTAAACATTCTTGCAGTTCGTGTGATTCGTGAGAAAACATTTGTTTATCAAAGAATTTCTAGGAATCGTCTACGAATTTCAGGTTCGTGCGTTGTAGTACATGTCGTAATCAGATCTTGTCCACTTTGTGCAATTCTTGGCTCAGATTTTGATTCTCTTTCACCCGAAACAGCCCCGACAGTCTCGAATCATCTACGAAAATATTAAAATATTTTCTTCGAAACCATTAAGCAATGATTTGTCTGAATGAATAATTACGTATGATATATTACACCTAATAACATGATGCATGACATAAAATAATGTTGCAAGGAATGATACATTCAAGTCAATAACACTGACCTGAAAAAGAGTGCAAAAATAATTAGATAAATATTATTAACTGTTTGAGACGCCCAACGCTAACACCGTATTCGTGCGTGCGTGATTCCCGTGCAACCTTTCGAGTTGAGTTGATTGGTTCAACTGTGTCATATGGCCCTGTGACGCAGGGGTAGCATTATGCAGATGGCTGTTACAATGAATGCTCGTTCCACCCGTGACGAACAGGTCTGGTTGTTGATGAAATATAGTGATAGCTAAATAGACAGATTTTTTTATTCATGCACCGATTGTCTTTAAATGTAATATCCAGTTATGTATGACTGTTTAATAATCTCATACCAACTTTGACTGGCGTAGATCCAATAGTTTTTCAGATATTGTAGTAAACGTCGGCACCTTAAATTAACTTCCAGACTTTACTGGCGCAATGCATGACGTCCCACTTCACTGCCGCGCTCGCCGCAACCGTTCATTGCAGATTCAAAGTGACAGATGCCCCAATAAAATCCTTCCTGGGAGTGTTATGAAATGTGCGTCCACATCATTGGGGAAAAGTTGTTTCTTAAGTTGACATCTGTTTTGGGCTGACATGTGTGGAGGTGCTGGAGAGACGGTGCAGCCTATACCGGACGAGTGAGGACATTATATTATGTCATTGAAAGTTGTGTTTATCCTTTTCCCCGTGTATTGATGTTATTTTTACATTGAACCATTTTGAAATTTCGTTAATTATACACGCTCTCTATGTCCATATATACTGAACCAAATTAAAAACTTCACAATCCTAAATTTTTAACAATTTGACCAGTTATCATTGTGGGCCCTTATTGTGTATTTTAACAGTAATGGCCACGTACTGTCTTCAGATAACACCCGTTTTTGTGCAGGTGAATCGATCAAAATCATGTGCACAGCACTTTAGTGGCAAAAGTGTTTTTTTCACGTGCAGCTGGTCACGTGGCCAAAATACCGCACGTGTTTTCAGCCATACTTCAGAAAAACACAAGAAAACAAAAGTCTTTACGGCCATTTGTCATGCCACGCCTTTCAAATGTGCAACGTGAACGTGCCATCGGCATGTTACAGACGGGAACGTCCGTAGCTGAAGTCGCATGGGCGATGGGTTGTAGTCGACGGACTGTTTATGATTTACAGACGCGTCTACAGCAAACGGGTACCACCGCTGATCGCCCTCGGCCAGGTCGACCACGTGTGACGTCACATGCAGAGGATCGTCAGATTGTCTTACGTCACCTCCGTAACCGATTTTTGACGGCTACATCAACTAGAAATGAACTGTTTAGGGGTAGACTGAGTGCGCAAACTGTTCGAAACCGTCTGAAAACTTGTCACCTTCAAGCACGACGGCCATCGTGCGGGCCGATTCTGATTCAATTACACAGACGTCAACGTCAATTGTGGGCACAGCGACACTTACGGTGGACTCAGAGGAATTGGAATCAACTCGTCTTCAGTGATGAATCCCCATTTAATCTTCGATTTGCTGATGGTAGGGCGAGGGTGTGGAGGCGCCGTCATGAACGTTACGCCCAGTGTTGTGTACAGGAAGTTGACAGATTTCGAGGCGGAAGTGTCATGGTGTGGGTCGCTTTCTGTGGCAATGCACGTTCGAGGCTTCCTGTCATCCGTGGCAACCTCAACGCTGCTGCTTACCGCGACGAGGTACTGGCACCAGAACTTTTGCCTTTTATGGCAGCACATGGACCCGGTTTGATCTTCCAACACGACAATGCCAGGCCCCACACAGAAATTTTGACAAGGAATTCCCTTCAGAATGCGGGAGTCAACGTCATGGACTTGCCGTCAAGGTCTCCCAACCTCAATCCCATCGAACACGTCTGGGATGCTCTTGGCACTCTCCAGAACCAACCACAAAGTTTGCAAGATCTTGGCACCATTATGCAGCAACAACGGCGTCGTCTTCCCAATCATGTGTTCACAAGCATCACAAGGTCCATGCGGAGGCGTTGTGTGGCTGTTGTCAACGCACATGGTGGCCATACACGCTACTGAACTTGTGTGCCATCAGATTCTCGTGCTTGGGACTTATGATTTAAACTGTTGATGTTATTACCGAATACCGTAGGTGCAAACCGTTAATTACCACCGTTAATTAAAATCCTTCTTTGGACATAATGATTAAAAATTACCTTCTCTAATACATTTGTCCGTTGTATATCATATATCGGATTACTTTTAAAAATGTGTTTTTAATTTGACTCAGTATATTTTCATTGGCTGTGTAGCCTGTCGAAGCCGCCAAATCCAGTTGCACAAATTATCGAAATGTTCAGGAATTATGTGATAGACTTGGGTTCAGGGACGTCGCGTTATCGCCTTCAGTTACGGCCGCGAGAAAGCGAGAAAGCGATCACACGAGACGAGAAAGCGATATTGTGCTATCGCTTTCTCGTCTTGTTCTATCACTTTCTCATCTTGTTCTATCGCTTTCTCCTCTTGTGCTATCGCTTTCTCGCTTTGTGCTATGGCTTTGTCTTCTTGTACTATCGCTTTCTCCTCTTGTTCTATCACTTTCTCGTCTGGTGCTATCACTTTCTCCTCTTGTGCTATTGCTTTCTCCTCTTGTTTTATCGCTTTCTTGTCTTATATTATCGCTTTCTCGTCTTGTTCTATCGCTTTCTTGTCTTGTGCTATCGCTTTCTCGTCTTGTTCTATCGCTTTCTCATCTTGTTCTGTTGCTTTCTCATCTTGTTCTATCACTTTCACATCTTGTAAAATCGCTTTCTCCTCTTGTTTTATCGCTTTCTCGTCTTGTACTATCGCTTTCTCCTCTTGTTTTATCACTTTCTCGTCTTGTACTATCACTTTCTCGTCTTGTACTTTCACTTTCTCGTCTTGTGCTATCGCTTTCTCGTCTTGGGCTATTGCTTTCTCCTCTTGTTTTATCGCTTTCTCGTCTTGTACTATCGCTTTCTTGTCTTGTTCTATCGCTTTCTTGTCTTGTGCTATCGCTTTCTCGTCTTGTACTATCGCTTTCTCATCTTTTTCTGTCGCTTTCTCATCTTGTTCTATGGCTTTCTCGTCTTGTGCTATCAATTTCCCGCCTTGTTCTATCGCTTTCTCGTCTTGTGCTATCGCTTTCTCTTCTTGTGCTGTCACTTTCTCATCTCGTACTATCGCTTTCTCGTCTTGTACTTTCACTTTCTCGTCTTGTGCTATTGCTTTCTCATCTTGTGCTTTTGCTTTTTCCTCTTGTTTTATCGCTTTCTCGTCTTGTACTATCGCTTTCTCGTCTTGTACTATCGCACTTTCTCGTCTTGTACTTTCACCTTCTCGTCTTGTGCTATCGCTTTCTCGTCTTGTGCTATTGCTTTCTCCTCTTGTTTTATCGCTTTCTCATCTTGTACTATCGCTTTCTTGTCTTGTTCTATCACTTTCCTGCCTTGTGCTATCGCTTTCTCGTCTTGTACTATCGCTTTCTCATCTTGTTCTGTCGCTTTCTCATCTTGTTCTACCACTTTCTCATCTTGTAAAATCGCTTTCTCCTCTTGTTTTATAGCTTCTTGTCTTGTACTATCGCTTTCTCATCTTGTACTATCGCTTTCTCGTCTTGTACTATCGCTTTCTTGTCTTGTTCTATCGCTTTCTTGTCTTGTGCTATTGCTTTCTCATCTTGTGCTATTGCTTTCTCCTCTTGTTTTATCGCTTTCTCGTCTTGTACTATCGCTTTCTCGTCTTGTGCTATTGCTTTCTCATCTTGTGCTTTTGCTTTTTCCTCTTGTTTTATCGCTTTCTCGTCTTGTACTATCGCTTTCTCGTCTTGTACTATCGCACTTTCTCGTCTTGTACTTTCACCTTCTCGTCTTGTGCTATCGCTTTCTCGTCTTGTGCTATTGCTTTCTCCTCTTGTTTTATCGCTTTCTCGTCTTGTACTATCGCTTTCTTGTCTTGTTCTATCACTTTCCTGCCTTGTGCTATCGCTTTCTCGTCTTGTACTATCGCTTTCTCATCTTGTTCTGTCGCTTTCTCATCTTGTTCTACCACTTTCTCATCTTGTAAAATCGCTTTCTCCTCTTGTTTTATAGCTTCTTGTCTTGTACTATCGCTTTCTTATCTTGTACTATCGCTTTCTCGTCTTGTACTATCGCTTTCTTGTCTTGTTCTATCGCTTTCTTGTCTTGTGCTATTGCTTTCTCATCTTGTGCTATTGCTTTCTCCTCTTGTTCTATCGCTTTCTCGTCTTGTACTATCGCTTTCTCGTCTTGTGCTATTGCTTTCTCATGTTGTACTATCGCTTTCTCATCTTGCTCTATCACTTTCTCATCTTGTAAAATCGCTTTCTCCTCTTGTGATATCGCTTTCTTGTCTTCTACTACCGCTTTCTCGTCTAGTGCTATCTTCTACTACCGCTTTCTCGTCTTGTGCTATCGCTTTCTCGTCTTGTACGATGGCTTTCTCTTCTTGTGCTATCGATTTCCCGTCTTGTTCTATCGCATTCTGGTCTTGTGCTATCACTTTCTCTTCTTGTGCTATCGCTTTCTCATCTTGTACTATTGCTTTCTCGTCTTGTACTATCACTTTCTCGTCTTGTATTTTCACTTTCTCGTCTTGTGCTATTGCTTTCTCGTCTTGTGCTATTGCTTTCTCCTCTTGTTTTAATGCTTTCTCGTCTTGTACTATCGCTTTCTTGTCTTGTACTATCGCTTTCTCGTCTTGTACTATCACTTTCTCGTCTTGTACTTTCACTTTCTCGTCTTGTGCTATCGCTTTCTCGTCTTGTACTATCACTTTCTCGTCTTGTACTTTCACTTTCTCGTCTTGTGATATCGCTTTCTCGTCTTGTGCTATCGCTTTCTCATCTTGTGCTATCGATTTCTCGTCTCGTGTTATCGCTTTCTCATCTTGTGCTGTCGCTTTCTCGTCTTGTGCTATAGCTTTCTCGTCTTTTACTAACGCTTTCTCGTCTCGTGTTATCGCTTTCTCGTCTCGTGCTATCGCTTTCTCGTCTTGTACTATCGCTTTCTCGTCTCGTGTTATTGCTTTGTCACTTTCTCGCGGCCACCATATTAGAGAGCAGGCATCCATTACTGCTCCAACTGCGAGACTGTCATATGTAGGACAATGCGAGATCAGTAAAATCTAGTTCTGTTGTAAAGCGGATGTCAGGCCGACTGACAACAGTATATGTCGTTATCTAGATGTTTAACTGCATTGCATGCTTTAAGTGTTTAGTTATGTTTTTATCGCGATAGTGCACATGACAGCACCCTTTGTTGCTTGGTACAATGTTAGGTATACGTTACACACTTGGCTTTGGTAGCTGTCACAGCACACGCTGTGAAGTAAAACTTAGACCTGTAGTAATAGAGATAAGTAATTTGTTTACATGGAGACAGGAACGCCATTGTTTGGCGAGAGAATGTTAGGGAGGACCGACCATTTTGATAGTCTGGAATGGGTGGGGTGGTGGATGGTCTGGGATTTTGTAACAAGATCAGATGTTTGTTAGCTATGATCCCGAACGTTCAGAGCATGGGAACCCCATTGTTAAGCGGGAGAACTGCACAGAACAAGATGATACAGACAGTTGATCCTGACACAATAAACGCAGTGTCTTCTGATCAGTCTTGCGACAAGTACACTGCCTGGCAAAAGAAAGTATCCACCCATGTTTGATGGAGGCATAAAAGTGAAATGGTTATTCCACGGTGATGTATTTGATACGGGTATCATAGGCGATGTTCCATACATCTTGTCAATGAAAAACAGGTCAGCCGAGTCACTTACTAGCGTTACAAACGTGTGTAATCGTTTTGTCAAATCCAATTGTCAATTGTATTCTTCTTTTACCCGGCGGTATATATACTCACACGCAAAAGAAACGCAAGTGGTTTAAGCAAATAGGTAACAAACACGGAACCACAAATTGATACGAGTTTTAGCATGTAGTGAAGCCTGATGGTGTTATCAATATTTTTGGTTGCATTTTGGAAGCCCCGAGTAAAAACGCAACATAAAAAACGAATCGCCAAACGCACCATTTGAATGAATACGTGGATATCATGCACCCATTTCTCGCGAAATCGAAAATGCACGAACTGTCACGAACTGTAGTAGGTATAAAACTGTGGCCGATTCTTGGACCTACCACTCCTTTGTCAACAATGCCACGCCTAACTCAAATTCACGCCTAACTCAAACCAGGTTATCGGACGTTTGGAAGCTGGAGAGTCTGTCCAAGATGTTGCCCGTCATTTTAACGTTAACATAACCACAATTTACCGTCTCCTGCATCGATACAATGCTACACAGACCACAGATGACCTTCCTCGGAGCGGTCGTCCTTGGGTCACAACACCTCGACAAGATCGGCAGATTACCCGTCAACACCAGCGACATCCGTTCCTAACTGCAAGTGAAAGTGCTCGACAGACCATAGGAACACATAATCGACACATTAGCCGGGATATTGTGATCACTGTCTCCGTTCCAACAACCTCAGATGTCGCCGACCAGCACGTCATCCTGTTCTCCAACCACGGCATCGACAAGCACGACTTCAGTAGGCACAGGATCATCGCAATTGACCTCATCGTGAGTGGAGGCGTGTCATCTTCTCTGATGAAAGTCGCTTTTGTGTCTCCAATGCAGACGGAAGAGTCAGAATTTGGCGGCGTCGAGGTGATCGTTTCGCTGACAGAAACGTTGTGTAAAGGGATCTATTGGGTGGACCTAGCGTCATGATATGGGCAGGGATTGGACTTAATGTGAGACTTCGACCCATGTGCTTTTGTGAATGTTGGTCAAGGTCGGGGACACGGCGTCACTGCCCAGCGGTATATCGACCTAGTGATCAGACCCCACGTTGTTCCATTTTTTGCACAGCATTAACAACACATTTTCCAGCAGGACAACGCTCGTCCCCATGTTGCCAGAGCTACCATGGCCTTTCTGCAACAATACGACATCCGTGTTCTACCGTGGCCAGCCCTCAGCCCTGATCTGAACCCCATCGAACACTTGTGGGGTGAGGTTCAAAGGCGTCTGCACAATGTGCGCGCAGTCCCTACAACTGCCGATGAACTACGCACAGCTTCTCTGGATGTGTGCAGGAGGATCCCTAGTGCCTTCACAAATCGTCTGATCAACTCAATGTACAGGAGATGTGTGGCAGTGATCAATGCTAATGGTGGTCACACCAGGTATTGACTGATATTTAAGGTATTGACCCGAAACTGTGTAAGCCCTTAACACTTGGGAAAAAACAATTATGTCATCTGCCTTTTAATCCATTAAACTGTCTTCAGTCAATTTCTTGTCAATCTTGCCCTATTAGTATTTCTTGTCTTTACTGTTGAAAATAAATAACATGTATACTGCATACTCGACTTGCGTTTCTTTTGCATGTGAGTATATGAAAGGTTGACTGAGTGTATTCAACCACAGCAATATTGGAGGCGGGTCTTCTACCACGGCAATATGGGAGGCGGGTCTTCTACAACGGCAAGATTGGAAGTGGGTCTTCGACCACAGCAATATGGGAGGCGGGTCTTCTACCACGGCAAGATGGGAAGTGGGTCTTCGACCCCAGCAATATGGGAGGCGGGTCTTCGACCACAGCAATATGGGAGGCCGGTCTTCTACCACAGCAATATGGGAGGCGGGTCATCTACCACAGCAATATGGGAGGCGGGTCTTCTACCACAGCAATATGGGAGGCCGGTCTTCTACCACAGCAATATGGGAGGCGGGTCATCTACCACAGCAATATGGGAGGCGGGTCTTCTACCACGGCAAGATGGGAAGTGGATCTTCGACCACAGCAATATGGGAGGCGGGTCTTCTACCACAGCAATATGGGAGGCCGGTCTTCTACCACAGCAATATGGGAGGCCGGTCTTCTACCACGGCAAGATGGGAAGTGGATCTTCGACCACGGCAATATGGGAGGCGGGTCATCTACCACAGCAATATGGGAGGCGGGTCTTCTACCACAGCAATATGGGAGGCGGGTCTTCTACCACAGCATTATGGGAGGCTGGTCTTCTACCACAGCATTATGGGAGGCGGGTCTTCTAACACAGCAATATGGGAAGTGGGTTTTCTACCACGGCAGATGGGAAGTGGGTCTTCGACCACAACAAGATGAGAGGCGGGTCTTCTACCACAGCAATATGGGAAGTGGGTCTTCTACCACAGCAATATGGGAGGCTGGTCTTCTACCACAGCAAGATGGGAAGTGGGTCTACTACAACAGCAGATTGGTAGGCGGGTCTTATACCACAGCAATGTGAGGGGCGGGTCTTCTACCACAGCAATGTGGGAGGCTGGTCTTCTACCACAGCAGGATGAGAGACGGGTCCTATACCCAGCAATATGGGAGGCGGGTCTTTTAATACAGCAAAATGGGATGCGAGTCTTCTCCAACAGCAGGATGGTATAAGGCGTGTTTATGTGAGGTTATAGAATCTCAGACCATGAAAGTATGTTCACCCTTCTTAACTCAATATTCTCTTCACATCGAGACCTTGCTCGATCTCGATATTCGGCTCACCTCGACACTCTGTTAATAAAGACATTCTGCTCACCTCGACACCCTGTTTATCAAGATATTCGGCACACATCGACACCCTGTTTCTAAAGACATTCTGCACACCTCGACACCCTTTTTATCAAGATATTCGGCTCACCTCGACACCCTGTTTATCAAGATATTCCGCTTACCTCGACACCCTTTTTATCAAGATATTCGGCTCACCTTGACACCCTTTTTATCAAAACATTCGGCTCACCTCGACACCCTGTTTATCAAGATATTCGGCACACATCGACACCCTGTTTCTAAAGACATTCTGCACACCTCGACACCCTTTTTATCAAGATATTCGGCTCACCTCGACACCCTGTTTATCAAGATATTCCGCTTACCTCGACACCCTTTTTATCAAGATATTCGGCTCACCTTGACACCCTGTTTATCAAAACATTCGGCTCACCTCGACACCCTGTTTATCAAGATATTCGGCTCACCTCGACACCCTGTTTATAAAGATATTCTGCTCACCTCGACACCCTGTTTATCAAGATATTCTGCTCACCTCGACACCCTGTTTATCAAGATATTCGGCTCACCTCGACACCCTGTTTATCAAGATATTCCGCTTACCTCGACACCAGTTTATATCAAGACATTCGGCTCGCCTCGACACTCTGTTTATCAAGATATTCGGCTCACCTCGACACCCTGTTTATAAAGATATTCAGCTTATATCTGATTATCTTCATACTGATGTCATGTCTACTGTATGTAGAAGGGCGTCACTTGATATGTTAATGACTGGCTGATGCGTTGGTTCTAGCCCTGTTTAACCTTCATTAAAGCAGGCAGTAACAGGACAGATATATATTAAGGAGCATGTGTGTTGAGCAGATGTTCGTTGCTGATAGTCTATCACGTGACCTGTTACAAGCGAACTGTTGGGAACTGATAGTCTATCACGTGACCTTTTACTAGCAACTGTTGGGTACTGATAGTCTATCACGTGACCTTTTACTAGGAACTGTTGGGTACTGATAGTCTATCACGTGACCTTTTACTAGCAATTGTTGGGTACTGATAATCTATCACGTGACCTAGTACGAGTGTGAAGTAGAAGTAATTAGTAATTAGTAAATATTAGCATAATTGATATTCATCTTCACCAGGGGCGGTCGGGTAGCCTAGTGGTTAAAGCGTTCGCTCATCACGCCGAAGACCCGGGTTCGATTCCCGACATGGGTACAATGTGTGAAGCCCATTTCTGGTGTCCCCCGCCGTGATATTGCTGGAATATTGCTAAAAGCGGCGTAAAACCATACTCACTCACTCACTCATCTTCACTACAGTAGAACGATAGCAGATCTGATTGTAGGAGATAGACGACTCAGACCGAAGCTTACTGGGCGGGTATTGGTTACCCCGATCCAAGCACGATTACCCCGTCCACGCCGCAGTGAATATATCCGATGTTGGTCTGACCACAGAACGACACTTACATTCGCACTCGCAAGACAACACCGTCGTTTGTCTATACTTACAAGATCAATACACAATCATACACTGTGGACGTACACGGCCACACAGGACGCTGGTCGTTCATTGTTCGACACGGGTCTGTCTGGTTGGTCGGGGAACACCTCACACCAGAGTAGAGATCCAGTAATTGAACATTCAGACTGTCGCTGCTTTGACGGTAATGACCAACTGGGAGCCTGATATCGGTAATCATAAGCTTAATGGGGTATAAAATAGAGGCTATTACTAGGCCACGGAATTAGCGGCATTGAATCCAGCTGGGAAATATGGGCCCTAGGCTCGGAAACATCACAGAATACCCATAACTGCCCGGTTACCTAACTGTAGCATCTTAATACTGACAAGTAGAGCATTACACTTGATGTCGAACAAAGATCGTACCATAGAGACTGGATCATTGGACTTGAAACTGATTAAAGAGGATGATGGCATGTTTAGTTTGTCATAAGTGGGTCATTCCTTTTCTTGTAGCTGATTCAGGACAACCGACTTCATTAGGGTAATACATTAATCATAGTATCGGCGTTCTGATGCATCGTAACTATGCATTGAATATTCACGTCCTTGCGTCTTGCTAGGAACAAGGACTTGGTTACCGCTTCAGGAGAGACGAGCAGAGCGGCTAGCTCCACTCTGGAATGGTTGGCGGTACAGCAATTGCAGTATCGATTATTGCCATCAGGCCATACCACGGGATAAACCATTGACTACGGCGAAGTGGCAAGAGGCGGGAGAGACGTGTTGATGTTGTCGTGAAGGTGTAGAGGAGTTGCAGTCGTCGTGACAGCCGGGTGGTTAGGTATCTCAACAGGAGATATCGTCATCAACAGGAGGGTGATTACCTTCCCATGACCAGGGTTCTTGTAGGAGGGTCAGATTGTCTCACTGGCTTCTCGTGTCTCGTGTCTCAAGGATGTAAACTGAGGGTGCGCCACCACCGCCGGATATAGACTTTAAAAACTACGTGACACCCATTTGTCGTCATGCACGTGCAGTTCGAGCTCCTCGTGCCTATCGTGGCTCTGTTTCTACATGTAGGTCGACAGGTGGCCGCTGATGTTCAAGGTAAGTGGCTTAAGGGCGGGCGGTCGATATTTGTGATGCGTTTTTTGGCAACTCGTTAAGTCAAGGCGATGGATCGTTACGTTTTTATCAGTTTAAACCTCGTGGTAAGATACAGCCCTATTATATGTCTGTGTTGATGACACGATGCCCATTGAGTCCTGCAGCTGATGCTGATGTGGTTGTTGAAGACGTTGCACTGTGGATACTCAATGAGAGGCTAGAGGCTATTTTATATGCCGTGATGAGGGAATTGGCGTCGTTTGAAGTGGTGATTGATGGTGTTTTGAGTGAACTATCACATGCAGAGAGGCTACATTTAAGTTCTTTAATTGAAGTCAAGTATGAATAATGTGATAGCTCTCGAGTTGGAATAGCATAATTAGAATGCATTACGTCCGCTGCACCAGTGAGCATCATTAATATCTCTTGTTGTGTGGTTGAATGTGTGAATGAGCCATCATCTTCAAGACCATATGATACTGACACACAACATATAATCATCATTATATATCCCGAATAAAAAGGATATATAATTTATATTCTGTGAGGGGTCCGAGTCAGAATAGCTCCTAAACAACCTATATACTTGAGGCGACGAACTTATTCGGGTGACTTGTTTGATTGCGAGGCTTCACATCCCGAGGACGTAGGACGTTGCTTGTAATATCAGTCACTTGTTTGTCTGATCCAGACTCAGTTACTTGCCGGCCGCATTGACAAAGCTGGAATATTGCTTTCCTTGGTGTAAACAACAACAAAAATAACACAAAACTGATATATTCCATATCGATTCACCATAGTCTTGACATAACGCATATAATATTGCCATACCATATTTGGATTCCCTATTACATTGCCAGACCATGTATGGATTCCCTCTTAAATAGCCATATCATACATGGATTACCTTTGATATTGACATGCTTCCTTGGTGACAATAACTTAGCATGGTATTTTATGTACCTGTGCACACAATCCGACACGACACACCCGCAGATTCTATTGACTACTGCCACACTATGTTACTGCACCACAGTCTCGACATGCCAGTCGACCCGTGAAGATCCGGGGTAGAATAGGTCTTCAGCTAGCCATGCTTGCCGTAAAAGGCGACTATGCTTGTCGTAAAAGGCGACTAACGGGATCGGGTGGTCAGGGTCGCTGACTTGGTTGATGCATGTCATCGATGCCAATGGCGTGGATCTATGCTCATGATATTAATCACTGGATTGTCTGGTCCAGACTCGATTATTTACAGACCGCCGTCATATAGCTGGACTATTGCTGATTGCGGCGTTAAACAACAAACCAACCAAACCAACAAACCAACATGCCAGTCACGGGAAACCAACTTTATCCTCATTCATGTTTAAGGTTATTTATCCCCCACGTGGAACTGGTCAATAGTATGTTATGCAGTCATCTTATATATTTAGTGAGTGAGTTGGGTTTAACGCCGCTATTAACAGTATCCCAGTGTCGGCTTACTGTGGGATGAACTCCCGACATGATGCAGGTCTCAGACGTTTACCACTTTGCTGAAACCCGCATATGGTGCTGACAAACCTGCTTGTTTTTAGTAGTAGTTATACTCAGTGTATTGGTGGCACATTGTCCTCATATTCTATTAGATGTCATACAGTTAAAACGCCGGATGTTGATGACACATTGTTGTCACACATTCTATTAGATGTCATACAGTTAAAACGCCGGATGTTGATGACACATTGTTGTCACATATTCTATTAGATGTCATACAGTTAAAACGCCGGATGTTGATGACACATTGTTGTCACATATTCTATTAGATGTCATACAGTTAAAACGCAGGATGTTGATGACACATTGTTGTCACATATTCTATTAGATGTCATACAGTTAAAGACCCGTGAAGATTCCGGGGTAGAATAGACCCGTGAAGATTCCGGGGTAGAATAGGTCTTCAGCAACCCATGCTTGCCGTAAAAGGTGACTCTGCTTGTCGTAAAAGGCGACCAACGGGATCGGGTGGTCAGGCTCGCTGACTTGGTTGATGCATGTCATCGATCCCAATTGCGTGGATCGATGCTCATGATATTAATCACTGGATTGTCTGGTCCAGACTCGATTATTTACAGACCGCCGTCATATAGCTGGAATATTGCTGATTGCGGCGTTAAAAAACAAACCAACCAACCAACCAATCATACAGTTAAAACCCCGGGTATTGATGACACATTGTTGTCATATATTCTATTAGATGTCAAACTGTTAAAACGACGGGTATTGATGACACATGTCGTGACATATTCTATCGTGACATGTTTATTCAGATGTAATATAGCCATAACGTCGGGTATTGTAATTGCAGTCATGAGACAAATTACAAATACTGTACTAGATGCTGTGTAATTATGAGCTATTGTTGGTGATCTGGCCCTGGCCTTTAGTGTGCAGATGTCGTGCGGCAGTTATAGCTGACATAATCGTCTCACAATGTGCCAGGATGACTTGAAAACGCGACCATTTTGTCACCCGATGGCGTGCAATTGGATGGTTACGCGTCTGTATACCAAAGGTGTGTTATGCAGCGTACAAACATACAAGTATCGTGTTGGCTCACACGGGAAGCAGCCGTGTGATGCTCACACGGGAAGGAGCTGTGTGATGTCAGTGTGTACATCGTGTACACAACACGTATTTGTTTCCGTGGCGCTGTCGTTCCAGGCAATTGTCAGATCAATATTCACAATTCGAGACGACGCTTTTAGTCGTACGCGTATCTTAGCCTGGCTGAGAATCGATCTTCAAGACACAGGGTATAGCGGCTCCGATCAGAATGCGTGTCGTCTGCTCATTGAACCGGGGGAAATGGCTAATGTCTCCAGCCTTGTGCTGACAGGTCATGATAACCCACTGAGCAAATATTAGAGAGAATACACAACTGTTTCCGTCACACGGTTAAGTCGGTCGACGGATTGACATGAAACATCTTTGATGAATATAGAATGATTGTGCACATGTTTTGTCTGCATTGAAACACGAACAGAACAGAATGTTAGAAAGGCGCATACGTATATATCGGTGTATCTAGTTCGCTTTTCCTGTCATTTCTTGTGTAACATGTGTCAGCTGTATGTGGAAACACCGTGAGGTCATTGTACCAAAACCATGTCCAGCTATCAGAGGACCCATCATGGCTGACTGCTATACAGTCATATTCTGTCCCAAGGTCCGATGCTTACTATATATATTGGCTTCTGGTTTACCATCTTCCCGAGGTGAGGGAGTTAACTGAGCTTATAGGGTCAGGGAAACTACACTTGTAAAGTCAGTTAACTCCCTTGCCTCGTGAAGATGCTGGTTTAACATGCTCCGAGCCGAACTGGACGCGCTGCTACGGGATATAGCTGGAAAAGTGATCTAAGCTAAAATGAATAAAACTTTTGCATTCAAGATATCTATTTCTCCATATTTATCGAAACTAGATGTCATAATATAGGTACAATATATACCTGACTACAGGCTGGCGTCATTTAGCTGCAATATCTATCTGGCTACAGGCGAAGTATGTGGTGATATACATATGGTATAGCTGAGTGAAGGTTGTGATGATATACTTGTGGTATAGCTGAGTGAAGGTTATGGTGACATACTTGTGGTATAGCTGAGTGAAGTTTGTGATGATATACATGTGGTATAGCTGAGTGAAGGTTGTGGTGATATACATGTGGTATAGCTGTCTCACGTTTGTGGTGATATACCTGTGGAATAGCTGAGTGAAGGTTGTGATGATATACATGTGGTATAGCTGAGTGATGGTTGTGGTGATATACATGTGGTATAGTTGTCTCAAGGTTGTGATATACTTATGGTATAGCTAAGGGAAGTTTGTGATATACTTATGGTATAGCTGAGTAAAGTTTGTGGTGATATACATGTGATATAGCTTAGTGAAGGTTGTGATATACTTATGGTATAGCTGAGTGAAGGTTGTGATATACTTATGGTATAGCTTAGTGAAGTTTATGGTGATACACTTGTGGAATAGGTGAGTGAAGGTTGAGATATACTTATTGTATAGCTGAGTGAAGTTTGTGGTGATATACTTGTGGAATAGCTGAGTGAAGTTTGAGGTGATATGTTTATGGTATAGCTGAGTGAAGGTTCTGGTGAAATACTTGTTGTATAGCTTAGTGAAGGTTGTGATATACTTATGGTATAGCTGAGTGAAGGTTCTGATATACTTATGGTATAGCTAAGTGAAGTTTGTGGTGATATACTTGTGGTATAGCTTAGTGAAGGTTGTGATATACTTATGGTATAGCTGAGTGAAGGTTGTGATATACTTATGGTATAGCTGAGTGAAGTGTGTGGTGATATACTTGTGGAATAGCTGGATGAAGGCTGTGGTGATATACTTATGGTATAGCTGAGTGAAGTTTGTTGTGATATACTTGTGGAATAGCTGAGTGAAGGTTGTGGTGATATACTTGTGGTATAGCTTTGTGAAGTTTGTGATATACTTATGGTATAGCTGAGTGAAGGTTGTGGTGATATACTTGTGGAATAGCTGAGTGAAGGTTGTGGTGATATACTTATGGTATAGCTGAGTGAAGTTTGTGGTGATATACTTGTGGAATAGCTGAGTGAAGGCTGTGGTGATATACTTGTGGAATTGCTGAGTGAAGGTTGTGGTGATATACTTGTGGTGTAGCTGAGTGAAGTTTGTTGTGATATGCTTATGGTATAGCTGAGTGAAGGTTGTGATATGCTTAAGGTATAGCTGAGTGAAGTTTGTGGTGATATACTTGTGGAATAGCTGGATGAAGGTTGTGGTGATATACTTGTGGAATAGCTGAGTGAAGTTTGTGATATACTTATGGTATAGCTGGGTGATGGTTTTGGTGATATACTTGTGGAATAGCTGAGTGAAGGTTGTGGTCATATACTTGTGGTATAGCTGAGTTAAGTTTGTGATATACTTATGGTATAGCTGAGTGAAGGTTGGGATATACTTGTGGAATAGCTGAGTGAAGGTTGTGGTGATATACTTGTGGAATAGCTGATTGAAGGTTGTTGTGATATACTTATGGTATAGCTGGGTGATGGTTTTGGTGATATACTTGTGGAATAGCTGAGTGAAGGTTGTGGTCATATACTTGTGGTATAGCTGAGTTAAGTTTGTGATATACTTATGGTATAGCTGAGTGAAGGTTGGGATATACTTGTGGAATAGCTGAGTGAAGTTTGAGGTGATATGTTTATGGTATAGCTGAGTGAAGGTTCTGGTGATATACTTGTTGTATAGCTTAGTGAAGGTTGTGATATACTTATGGTATAGCTGAGTGAAGGTTCTGATATACTTATGGTATAGCTGAGTGAGGTTTGTGGTGATATACTTGTGGTATAGCTTAGTGAAGGTTGTGATATACTTATGGTATAGCTGAGTGAAGGTTGTGATATACTTATGGTATAGCTGAGTGAAGTTTGTGGTGATATACTTGTGGAATAGCTGGATGAAGGTTGTGGTGATATACTTATGGTATAGCTGAGTGAAGTTTGTGGTGATATACTTGTGGAATAGCTGAGTGAAGTTTGTGGTGATATACTTGTGGAATAGCTGGATGAAGGTTGTGGTGATATACTTGTGGAATAGCTGAGTGAAGTTTGTGATATACTTATGGTATAGCTGAGTGAAGGTTGTGATATACTTGTGGAATAGCTGAGTGAAGGTTGTGGTGATATACTTGTGGAATAGCTGATTGAAGGTTGTTGTGATATACTTATGGTATAGCTGGGTGATGGTTTTGGTGATATACTTGTGGAATAGCTGAGTGAAGGTTGTGGTCATATACTTGTGGTATAGCTGAGTTAAGTTTGTGATATACTTATGGTATAGCTGAGTGAAGGTTGGGATATACTTGTGGAATAGCTGAGTGAAGTTTGAGGTGATATGTTTATGGTATAGCTGAGTGAAGGTTCTGGTGATATACTTGTTGTATAGCTTAGTGAAGGTTGTGATATACTTATGGTATAGCTGAGTGAAGGTTCTGATATACTTGTGGTATAGCTGAGTGAAGTTTGTGGTGATATACATGTGGTATAGCTTGGTGAAGGTTGTGATATACTTATGGTATAGCTGAGTGAAGGTTGTGATATACTTATGGTATAGCTGAGTGAAGTTTGTGGTGATATACTTGTGGAATAGCTGGATAAAGGTTGTGGTGATATGCTTGTGGAATAGCTGAGTGAAGTTTGTGATATACTTATGGTATAGCTGAGTGAAGTTTGTGGTGATATACTTGTGGAATAGCTGAGTGAAGGTTGTGGTGATATACTTATGGTATAGCTGAGTGAAGGTTGTGGTGATATACTTGTTGTATAGCTGAGTGAAGTTTGTGATATACTTGTTGTATAGCTTAGTGAAGGTTGTGATATACTTATGGTATAGCTGAGTGAAATTTGTGGTGATATACTTATGGTATAGCTGAGTGAAATTTGTGGTGATATACTTGTGGAATAGCTGAGTGAAGGTTGTGGTGATATACTTGTGGAATAGTTGAGTGAAGTTTGTGTTGATATACTTGTGGAATAGCCGAGTGAAGTTTTTGGTGATATACTTGTGGAATAGCTGAGTGAAGGTTGTGGTGATATACTTATGGTATAGCGGTGTGAAGTTTGTGGTGACATACTTGTGGAATAACTGAGTGAAGGTTGTGGTGATATACTTATGGTATAGCCGAGTGAAGTTTGTGGTAATATACTTGTGGAATAGCCGAGTGAAGTTTGTGATATACTTATGGTATAGCTGAATGAAGTTTGTGGTGACATACATGTGGTATAGCTGAGTGAAGGTTGTGATATACTTATTTTATAGCTGAGTGAAGGTTGTGGTGATATACTTATGGTATTGCTGAGTGAAGGATGTGGTGATATAATTGTGGAATAGCTGAGTGAAGGTTGTGGTGATATACTGATTGTATTGCTGAGTGAAGGATGTGGTGATATACTTGTGGAATAGCTGAGTGAAGGTTGTGGTGATATATTTGTGGAATAGCTGGGTGATGGTTTTGGAGATATACTTGTGGAATAGCTGAGTGAATGTTGTGGTGATATACTTATGGTATAGCTGAGTGAAGTTTGTGGTGATATACATGTGGTATAGCTTGGTGAAGGTTGTGATATACTTATGGTATAGCTGAGTGAAGGTTGTGATATACTTATGGTATAGCTGAGTGAAGTTTGTGGTGATATACTTGTGGAATAGCTGGATGAAGTTTGTGGTGATATACTTGTGGAATAGCTGAGTGAAGTTTGTGATATACTTATGGTATAGCTGAGTGAAGTTTGTGGTGATATACTTGTGGAATAGCGGAGTGAAGGTTGTGGTGATATACTTATGGTATAGCTGAGTGAAGGTTGTGGTGATATACTTGTTGTATAGCTTAGTGAAGTTTGTGATATACTTGTTGTATAGCTTAGTGAAGGTTGTGATATACTTATGGTATAGCTGAGTGAAATTTGTGGTGATATACTTATGGTATAGCTGAGTTAAATTTGTGGTGATATACTTGTGGAATAGCTGAGTGAAGGTTGTGGTGATATACTTGTGGAATAGTTGAGTGAAGGTTGTGTTGATATACTTGTGGAATAGCCGAGTGAAGTTTTTGGTGATATACTTGTGGAATAGCTGAGTGAAGGTTGTGGTGATATACTTATGGTATAGCGGAGTGAAGTTTGTGGTGACATACTTGTGGAATAACTGAGTGAAGGTTGTGGTGATATACTTATGGTATAGCCGAGTGAAGTTTGTGGTAATATACTTGTGGAATAGCCGAGTGAAGTTTGTGATATACTTATGGTATAGCTGAATGAAGTTTGAGGTGACATACATGTGGTATAGCTGAGTGAAGGTTGTGATATACTTATTTTATAGCTGAGTGAAGGTTGTGGTGATATACTTATGGTATTGCTGAGTGAAGGATGTGGTGATATAATTGTGGAATAGCTGAGTGAAGGTTGTGGTGATATACTGATTGTATTGCTGAGTGAAGGATGTGGTGATATACTTGTGGAATAGCTGAGTGAAGGTTGTGGTGATATATTTGTGGAATAGCTGGGTGATGGTTTTGGAGATATACTTGTGGAATAGCTGAGTGAATGTTGTGGTGATATACTTATGGTATAGCTGAGTGAAGGTTGTGGTGATATACTTGTGGAATAGCTGAGTGAAGGTTGTGGTGAGATACTTGTGGAATTGCTGAGTGAAGGTTGTGGTGATATACTTATGGTATAGCTGAGTGAAGGTTGTGGTGATATACTTGTGGAATAGCTGAATGAAGGCTGTGGTGATATACTTGTGGAATAGCTGAGTGAAGGTTGTGGTGATATACTTATGGTATAGCGGAGTGAAGGTTGTGGTGATATACTTTCGGAATAGCTGGGTGATGGTTTTGGTGATATTCTTGTGGAATAGCTGAGTGAAGGTTGTGGTGATATACTTGTGGAATAGCTGAGTGAAGGTTGTGGTGATCTACATGTGGTATAGCTGAGTCAAGTTTGTGGTTTATAATATGTTATTCGAGCTAATTATATACTTAGACACACACCATGCACATTCATTTATCAGTGTGAAAATGTCAACCGGCCGATTTCCTGAAAATGGCCCAGTCTGTGAGTGAGACTGAGACTGAGACTGTGAGGGAGACTGAGACTGAGACTGTGAGGGAGACTGAGACTGAGACTGTGAGTGAGACTGAGACTGTGAGTGAGACTGAGACTGTGACTGTGAGTGCGACTGAGACTGAGACTGTGAGGGAGACTGAGACTAAGATTTCCCCGTGTCCCCAGGCTACCAGACTGGCAAGATGGCGGTGAGACAGCCCCTGCGGTGCTACGACTGCTACGAGAGGGAGAAGAACTGCCAGACGCTTGCCAACCTCACCGACATCATGGTGACCAAGTGCAGAGACTATGAGCATTTCTGTAAGGTGAGTCTCATTGATATGACCCGTGAAGACCCGGGGTAGAACAGGTCTTTAGCAATCCATGCTTGCCGTAAGAGGCGGATAACGTGATCGGGTGGTCAGACTGGCTGACTTGGTTGATGCATGCCATCGTATCCCAATTGCGTTGATCGATCATACCGCCGTTATATAACTGGAATATTACTATGCGTGACGTTAAACAACAAACAAACAAACAAACAAACAAGCATACCTCCGATAATATGTTGTTATGTCTAAAGCATCTACAACACGTGATACTCCGTACCTCTGATATTATGTTGTTATGTCTAAAGCACCTACAACACGTGATACTCCGTACCTCTGATATTATGTTGTTATGTCTAAAGCACCTACAACACGTGATACTCCGTACCTCTGATATTGTGTTGTTATGTCTAAAGCATCTACAACACGTGATACTCCGTACCTCTGATATTATGTTGTTATGTCTAAAGCACCTACAACACGTGATACTCCGTACCTCTGATATTGTGTTGTTATGTCTAAAGCATCTACAACACGTGATACTCCGTATCTCTGATATTGTGTTGTTATGTCTAAAGCACCTACAACACGTGATACTCCGTACCTCTGATATTATGTTGTTATGTCTAAAGCATCTACAACACGTGATACTCCGTACCTCTGATATTGTGTTGTTATGTCTAAAGCACCTACAACACGTGATACTCCGTACCTCTGATATTTTGTTGTTATGTCTAAAGCATCTACAACACGTGATACTCCGTATCTCTGATATTGTGTTGTTATGTCTAAAGCACCTACAACACGTGATACTCCGTACCTCTGATATTATGTTGTTATGTCTAAAGCACCTACAACACGTGATACTCCGTATCTCTGATATTATGTTGTTATGTCTAAAGCATCTACAACACGTGATACTCCGTACCTCTGATATTATGTTGTTATGTCTAAAGCACCTACAACACGTGATACTCCGTATCTCTGATATTATGTTGTTATGTCTAAAGCATCTACAACACGTGATACTCCGTACCTCTGATATTGTGTTGTTATGTCTAAAGCATCTACAACACGTGATACTCCGTACCTCTGATATTATGTTGTTATGTCTAAAGCACCTACAACACGTGATACTCCGTACCTCTGATATTGTGTTGTTATGTCTAAAGCATCTACAACACGTGATACTCCGTACCTCTGATATTGTGTTGTTATGTCTAAAGCATCTACAACACGTGATACTCCGTACCTCTGATATTGTGTTGTTATGTCTAAAGCATCTACAACACGTGATACTCCGTACCTCTGATATTGTGTTGTTATGTCTAAAGCATCTACAACACGTGATACTCCGTATCTCTGATATTATGTTGTTATGTCAGTTCATCAGTACCTCTGATATAGATTATGCTGCTTGGTCTGAAGCTCCCCCAACACATGGTCCCCCGAACTTCGGATATTATGCTGATCTGTCAAAAGCACCTACAACACGTCTTCCTGCAGTACCCTCTGACTTGGTCGATGTCATCGTATCCCAATTGTGTAGATCGATGCACATGATGCCAATCACTGGATTGTCTGGTCCATGCTTGCTTAGCTACAGATCGCCGTCATACATGCATATCTGAGTATGGCGTTAAGCAATAAACCTCTGATGTAATATTATTATGTCTAAAGTACCAACAACACATGTTTCCATCATCCATGTCAGATTGACGAGATCAGATTGTTTCACGTGATCTTGATAAAACACTATGTATGTATCCCGCCTGATGGGACATAAACGAACGGCCAAAAGAAACTCAATCTCTTTAAATTCAGACCTCAGTTCTCGCTACCGCTAAACAAAGATCTGAGGACATCCCATTAGGGGTCACGTCAGAACGTTGCATGAGGTTAGTTGAAACACGGGAGCAACTAAAACATCTAGCAATGTGGGCATTGGTGGCCCCCATCTGTATCATACCCGCAGCCCGCTCGCGTTGTTCGGGTGTCACTCGTGGCCATTCGGAGGTGATTGTTATTCATTGTGAGTGACTGACATGCCGTCCGTATCATTTATATACCCTCATTGCACGTGTAGTTCCGTCTGCCCAAGCGGCACGTGTTTTTCCCTTTTTGCATTTTCTACAGAAAATCTTGCCGTGGACGTGTATCACTTTCTGCACAGAACATTGAGAATAAATCCTTTATACCCCGCTTCGAAGATTTTTCAGAGATATAGGACAAGTTAACCTTCTCTCAATGGAACAGCTGTTTTCTATCAATTTTGAATTATTTTATAATGGCACATTAAAACATGTCGATAAGATAATTTCGTTGTAACAGCATCATTCGGGGTTGCCATGCTTTAAACACATATAAAACATGACCCTCCGTACCTCTGATATTATGTTGCCATTCTTAAAGCACATACAACCATCTATACCAATGTTTCAGGTTCGTCGTATAAACAACCGGAAGTCTCAAACAGTGTTTGAGCGCAGGTGCAGTCCTGACTGCACACCCGGATGTACCACCATGTTGTTCCGAACTCAGTGTGTGTCCTGCTGCACATCAGACTTATGCAACAGCGACAACATGGCACAACGTCATGACGTCACGTGGCACGTGACACTGGCAACTGGGATCCTTGTTCTAATGACAAATGTGATGTGACCTGGTTTTAAATAGATTGGATCTGACTCTTTCTGAAACTTGAATGTAACCGAAACCCTCTCCTTAAATGTAAAAGAAATAATCGTGGAGTGACGAAATAGTTAAATTGTTAATAAAAGTTTCATTGCGATAAAAAAATATGTTTGCAATTATAATGTGCTTTCAGAATGTTTTGAAGCAGATCCAATCTATATATTCATACCCGGAAGAGATGCAGCAAAAACGGCCAGGGTTAATGAGAATTTGAAAAAAGCTATTTGTTTTGAAGGAGGTTGGTTTATAGCATTTGTGAGCTGCGCGTGACTCAACATTGAAATTTAAAGCCTCTCTTTAAAGGTTGTGTATTTGATTGCCCGAATGACACGGGTTTGTGATGTGGGTTGTGAATGTAGATATACATGCACCTGTACAACATCAATGATATACACTGTCAACAACATGAGACATATGCTATACACTGTCAACAACATGGAACATATGATATACACTGTCAACAACATGGAACATATGATATACACTGTCAACAACGTGGAACATATGATATACACTTTCAACAACATGGAACATATGATACACACTGTCAACAGCATGAGACATATGATATACACTGTCAACAACATGGAACATATGATATACACTGTCAACAACATGGAACATATGATACACACTGTCAACAACATGGAACATATGATACACACTGTCAACAACATGGAACATATGATATACACTGTCAACAACATGGAACATATGATATACACTGTCAACAACATGGAACATATGATATACACTGTCAACAACATGGAACATATGATATACACTGTCAACAACATGGAACATATGATACACACTGTCAACAACATGGAACATATGATACACACTGTCAACAACATGGAACATATGATACACACTGTCAACAACATGGAACATATGATACACACTGTCAACAACATGGAACATATGATACACACTGTCAACAACATGGAACATATGATACACACTGTCAACAACATGGAACATATGATATACACTGTCAACAACATGGAACATATGATACACACTGTCAACAACATGTAACATATAATATACACTGTCAACAACATGGAACATATGATATACACTGTCAACAACATGGAACATATGATATACTCTGTCAACAACATGTAACATATAATATACACTGTCAACAACATGGAACATATGATATACACTGTCAACAACATGGAACATATGATATACTCTGTCAACAACGTGGAACATATAATATACACTGTCAACAACATGGAACATATGATATACATTGTCAACAACATGGAACATATAATATACATTGTCAACAACATGGAACATATGATACACACTGTCAACAACATGAGACATATGATATACACTGTCAACAACGTGGAACATATGATATACACTGTCAACAACATGAGACATATGATAAACACTGTCAAAAACATGAGACATATGATATACACTGTCAACAACATGGAACATATGATATGCACTGTCAACAAACTGTTTCATGTTATATACACTGTGAACAACTTGAGACATATGATATACACTCGCCAACGTGGAACATAAGATATACACTGTCACTAACATGGAACGTGTTATACACACTGTATATGAACATAACGATACACACAAGTGTGTGCGACACTTTACTGGTACTCTCCACAGGCGAAGCGTGCTTACCTCCCTTTAATCCTTCACACCGCCATGTCGTATATACACCTTGTTATCTCATAGAAATCATAGATTGTCATTATATCATCTTTTTTATATATCTAGCTGACAGCATATTTCACCGTTTTTAGTAGTGAAAGTATTACAGGAAGATGAAAATCTTAAATCATTCAATCGACATTTCCACTGCACCTGTGAGTAGGAACTCTTTAATTAGATCCAAATCGCCGGGATATTGCAGAAATAGTATCCCCTTTTCCAAGATGATAACCCAGTATGTGACAACAGAGTATATCGTGACTTTCAAAGGGTGACTACACAGCTGTGTACAGTATGTCCGGGCCTCCTAGAGGGACTACCCAGCTGTGTACAGTAGGTCGGGGTCTCCTAGAGGGACAACCCAGCTGTGTACAGAGGTCGGGGTCTCCTAGAGGGACTACCCAGCTGTGTACAGTAGGTCGGGGTCTCCTAGAGGGACAACCCAGCTGTGTACAGAGGTCGGGGCCTCCTAGAGGGACTACCCAGCTGTGTACAGTAGGTCGGGGTCTGCTAGAGGGACAACCCAGCTGTGTACAGAGGTCGAGGTCTCCTAGAGGGACTATCCAGCTGTGTACAGTAGGTCGGGGCCTCCTAGAGGGACTTCCCAGCTGTGTACAGAGGTCGGGGTCTGCTAGAGGGACTACCCAGCTGTGTACAGAGGTCGGGGTCTGCTAGAGGGACTACCCAGCTGTGTACAAAGGTCGGGGTCTGCTAGAGGGACTACCCAGCTGTGTACAGAGGTTGGGGTCTCCTAGAGGGACTACCCAGCTGTGTACAGAGGTCGGGGTCTCCTAGAGGGACTACCCAGCTGTGTACAGAGGTCGGGGTCTGCTAGAGGGACTACCCAGCTGTGTACAGAGGTCGGGGTCTCCTAGAGGGACTACCCAGCTGTGTACAGAGGTCGGTGTCTCCTAGAGGGACTACCCAGCTGTGTACAGAGGTCGGGGTCTGCTAGAGGGACTACCCAGCTGTGTACAGAGGTCGGGGTCTCCTAGAGGGACTACCCAGCTGTGTACAGTAGGTCGGGGTCTCCTAGAGGGACTACCCAGCTGTGAACAGAGGTCGGGGTCTCCTAGAGGGACTACCCAGCTGTGTACAGTAGGTCGGGGTCTCCTAGAGGGACTACCCAGCTGTGAACAGAGGTCGGGGTCTCCTAGAGGGACTACCCAGCTGTGTACAGAGGTCGGGGTCTGCTAGAGGGACTACCCAGCTGTGTACAGTAGGTCGGGGTCTCCTAGAGGGACTACCCAGCTGTGTACAGAGGTCGGGGTCTCCTAGAGGGACTACCCAGCTGTGTACAGAGGTCGGGGTCTGCTAGAGGGACTACCCAGCTGTGTACAGTAGGTCGGGGTCTCCTAGAGGGACTACCCAGCTGTGTACAGAGGTCGGGGTCTCCTAGAGGGACTACCCAGCTGTGTACAGTAGGTCGGGGTCTCCTAGAGGGACTACCCAACTATGTACAGTAGGTCGGGGTCTCCTAGAGGGACTACCCAGCTGTGTACAGTAGGTCGGGGTCTCCTAGAGGGACTACCCAGCTGTGTACAGTAGGTCCGGGTCTCCTAGAGGGACTATCCAGCTGTGTACAGTAGGTCCGGGCCTCCTAGAGGGACTACCCAGCTGTGTACAGTAGGTCGGGGTCTCCTAGAGGGACTACCCAGCTGTGTACAGTAGGTCGGGGTCTCCTAGAGGGACTACCCAGCTGTGTACAGTAGGTCGGGGTCTCCTAGAGGGACTACCCAGCTGTGTACAGTAGGTCGGGGTCTCCAGAGGGACTACCCAGCTGTGTACAGAGGTCGAGGTCTCCTAGAGGGACTACCAAGCTGTGTACAGTAGGTCGGGGCCTCCTAGAGGGACTACCCAGCTGTGTACAGTAGGTCCGGGTCTCCTAGAAAGACTACCTAGCTGTGTACAGAGGTCGGTGTCTCCTAGAGGTACTACCCAGCTGTGTACAGCAATATTGTTCAGGATATGGGATCATGAAGTGAAGAAAAACACCCGAAAAGGAAAGATGTTAACAGTATCTGAACCGTAAACCCTCAAGCCAAATTATGTGAAAGGAACTTAAAAGCCCGGGGGCTACACACGGAACCCAGAAATCCAGATGATGTCACGGGAGGTTTCTAAGGTCGTCTCATGTGTAACGTGCGGGTGTGCGCCATCGCTTCAATTCCGCCATTGGGATGCTTGTCCCATTTCCCATGACAAATTTGGCTGTACCCATAGAACCAGTACACGCGCGTATGTGTAGGTTGTTGTGAATACACAGTGAAATGCAGAAGACGCACAACGTATGATGTAGATTATGATGTTTAATGTATGTCCATGAAAAACTATGATCATCATGTCACGATTCCGGATGCTGCATACTGCCTGCGGCCTGACAGGCTGCTGTCACAAAGCGAACTCTGCGACGATGGTTCCCTCAATACGTCGACATTCTATACGTCAGTACGTGGACCTGCGACTGAGGTTACGTCTGAACGTCGACATTATATACGTCAATACGTGGACCTACGACTGAGGTTACGTCTGAACGTCCACATTCTATACGTCAATACGTTGACCTACGACTGAGATTACCTCAATACGTCGACACTGTATACGTCAATATCAATACGTTGACCTACGAACATCGTTGCCTCAATATTTGGATATTCTGTACGTCAACATTGACGTACACCAGTCGTCAAGTTCTTTTAGTGGACACGGGCCTTGGCGCCAAACGCCACCCACTTTTTGTGAAATGGTGACGCATACTTACAATTCAATGATCACAAAAATCTCAGGAAAGTTCAAACGCCATTCGTTGCAAATCGCCATTAAAAATGTCAGTGAAAGGTTACAGCTGCGGTTTACAGGTTACAGTTACTACAGTAACGACAGTCAACGTCGTTAATGTCCATCTATATCTGTCTCCCTTGCAGTGATAGTTAGTAGTGGTTGTGGGTGTTTATCGGATGTCGTCAACAGATTTTAAAGACAATGAGCTGCTTAATGCCTTTACTTATGGAAGGGGAGTAACTCGTCATTGTGCGTCACCATTTCAAAAATTTGGAAAGGGGTTTCTTTGTACATTGTAATTTTTATCTACATTTTTCATATATGGATTTTTCAGACATTTTGATGAATCAATTCCCTTGTTCTCTTTAGAATCGCCACTTTTTTCCTGAATATCTCTTTATATCATTTTTTCTACTTCTATAATGATATATTTGTGCCTACAAGTTCTATACTATAGTTCACTCACATGTTCCGTGTTCTTCTCCAGCGGTAATACAGTAGATTCATGTGATTGGTCATGGCCTTCTATGCAAACAGTGACACACTTTAATAAATAGACGTACAGTACTTGTCGTTTTCTGGTATTTGTCTGTCATTTCCTTCAACGATTTGCGAGAAATGGATCAAAAGACTGACATGGGATTTCTAGTATGTGAATATCTTGTGACGCCCAAGAATGGAGTGAGTGTGAGTGAGTTTGGCTTAACGCCGTTTTTTACGGTATTCCAGTTATATCTCGGCGTGTCAGCTTTATGTGGGAGGAAAGCCCGAAGTGATGCAGGTCTCAGACGTTTACCACTTCGGTGAAACCCACGAGCACGGTGCTGACAAACCTAGAAACATAGACGACTGGGCCCCCCCTATCCCCCCCCCCCCCCCCATGAATGGATAAACGAGATTCCCACTATTACATCTCTAGTGATGAACCTCGTTCATCCATCCATCCGCGTCACTTATTACAGCGGGGGCAAAGTTGCGTCCCTTTGGCACGACAGAAACCTATGATTGTGGGTTCGACTCCCGGTTCGCCCCGATTGTGTTTCTAGGTTTGTCAGCACCATACCCGTGTTTCACAGATGTGGTAAACGTCTGTGACCTGCATTACTTCGGGCTTTCCTCACACATTAAGCTGGCACGCCGTGATATAACTGGAATATTGTTAAAAAGCGGCTTTACACCCACCTCACTCACTCACTCACTCACTCACTCACTCACACTAACTCCAGCAATACTCAGACGGAATATATTTGAAGATTTTCGAGACAACCCGAACAGCCACATATTTCACTCAAGGTCTTCGGGGATGAAGACACTTGGGGTTCTGATGATATTTAGGAGACAACTGCTTCAAGGTATGTCCCCTTGAGACCCCTTGAGACCCCTTGAGACCCCTAGTTCGTCTAACAATAGTGGCATTGATTATTATTACCCTAGTTTTATGAGAGACAAAAATTGTGTGAGGGATTGTCTTCGTTCACATGATCTGGATCCAAAAATAGTATCCTGCTTTGTCACTTAGTGCAGTGTGGCGTGCTGGGGTTGATTAATTTCCCCCCGTGTCTTATATTAGGTACTGCTGGGAAACCGCTAACTCCAACTCATTTAACTCGCTAGGTCGTTTAAGACGACCATACGTTGTGGTTCCGAGGGAATATTGCCAGCACTAGGATCAAACATAGACTTTCCGCTAGTCTCCAACTGCGGATGTATTTGTTGGTCCGCTTCCAATTAACGATCTTTACCGTGTATATGTGAAATCCCCATTTCATTAACATATCGACCCGTGAAGATCCGGGGTAGAAAAGGTCTTTAGCAACCCTTGCTTGCCGTAAGAGGAGACTATGATTGTTGTAAGAGGCGACTGACGGGATCGGGTGATCTGGCTCGCTGACTTTGTTGATGCATGCCATCGGATCCCAATTGCGTAGATCGATGCTCATGATGTCAATCTCTGGATTGTTTTGTTCAGACTCGATTATTTTCAGACCGCCGTCATAAGCTGGAATGCTGCTGAGTGCGGCGTTAAACAACAAACAAACAAATATTAACATATCATGAGTTAGAAGGACATGTCTTTCTCTGATGCTGTGAGAGAATCCAGGAGCGATAAACCAAGCTTCGACTGGGTCCAGCTCAACTCAGGGGACAGAGTATGATAATAACTGCTTCTCTAGAAATGTACTCGAACTCCCCTTATTCCAAGTTGGTCAACACCACTCCTCATACTCCGGAGCGGCCATTTGTAAAATCGAAATTTGAATTCTGAGCCTTTTATTGAATTCATAGGTGATATGAAAATGACCTTGTGATGTTGGTTTCTCAGCTTGTGTCATCGCGTCACAACATAAACATAGATACAAACTCACGCAGTGTATGAAAATTATATATTTCTCAACACACAACATGGATAGGTCATAAATTACAGGACTTGAAGGAGTTGTGACAGAGGGGCATCAGTCGCCAGCACTGAGAAGGCCAAGCAGGTCATACAGGAAGGCCGCTGGAAGCTGCATACATCCAGAATGTTGCACACGTCCTGTTCCTCTCGACATCAGGCTCGTTGAGGTGAGGGCGGCAAATAGTTCACCCTCAAAATGTCTCGGAATAAGTCATTTGGCATATCTTCCATAAGTGTGACTAAGGATTCTGTCATATATGTTGGCCAAGCACAACGGAGCATCGTAAGACGTACATGGATCTACAACAAGCATCAGATGAAGTGCCCATGGAAGTGGAGGTTCTGTCGCCGCGCCCTCCATCTCTCCCGCCGGGTCCGGAACTGAGACAGCGTCTGCTCAAAGTCGTAGAAGGCCAAGTTGTCCAACAGCTCGTACACGCCCACTCGTGCTGCCACCTAGCGGAGGAAGCCAAATATAAGTTTATGTCTACGGCCTCTACGTGCCCGACCCATAAGAGTAAGCGTTTCACTCCCAACGAGGACGAAATATGTCTTTTGGAGTGGCAGTTAAGGGTCTTAACAATTGTTTACAATATCCCAGCAACACCAAGTGTGACCTACCAGGAGAAAAGGGACATTATGAGTACTGTGAGGTCAAAAAGATGTTTGACATAAACTTACTTTATTGAAGATCGCAATGTGTGCGGACTGTACAAGAATATCTTATATTTCTCTCCTTAGTTCATAATGTAATAAAAACATTATTTCAAAACATTCCAGCATACGTGTCTACTTTCAATTCATCAGGCATTATGTCTAGATACTGGAATTGTTACTTAAACAGTTATAAGTCGGAAAATGAGACCAAATGTTTGAAGTCATGTATCTCTGTAAAACAATATGAATTGAAGCTTGTGAATTGTATAAAGTCAAAATGTAATTTTTCACCAATCAGGTCCCTTATCTCATGGTTGGTCAGGGGCGGTCGGGTAGCCTAATGGTTACAGCGTTCGCTCGTCACGCCGAAGACACGGGTTCGATTCCCGACATTGGTACAATGTGTGAAGCCCATTTCTGGTGTCCCCCGCCGTTGTATTGCTGGAATATTGCTAAAAGCGGCGTAAAACCATACTCACTCACTCACTCATGGTGGGTGACAAAAGTGTACATGGCTATGTTAAGTCGTGGTTATCTCACTATTCTTCGCTACACAACAATATTTGGAAAAATATGTCACACAAAGAATTAGCATCATAATTTAATTGACCGTACCCGTGCGGGGAATCGACACCGGGTGTGACGAGGGTACAGACTCTCCACAAGGTTTACCCCTAGTCGGATACTCTCGCTCGCGGTGTGCCTACCTCACGCATCCATAGACTGACAGTGTCCCTACCTCACACATCCACTGACAGAAGGTGTCCCTACCTGACACATCCATTGACAGAAGGTGTCCCTACCTGACACATCCACTGACAGAAGGTGTCCCTACCTGACACATCCACTGACAGAAGGTGTCCCTACCTGACACATCCATTGACAGAAGGTGTCCCTACCTGACACATCCATTGACAGAAGGTGTCCCTACCTCACACATCCACTGACTGAAGGTGTCCCTACCTCGTACATCCACTAACAGAAGGTGTCCCTACCTCACACATCCACTGACAGAAGGTGTCCCTACCTGACACATCCACTGACAGTAGGTGTCCCTACCTGACACATCCACTGACAGAAGGTGTCCCTACCTCACACATCCACTGACAGAAGGTGTCCCTACCTGACACATCCACTGACAGAAGGTGTCCCTACCTCACACATCCACTGACAGAAGGTGTCCCTACCTCGTACTTCCACTGACAGAAGGTGTCCCTACCTCACACATCCACTGACAGAAGGTGTCCCTACCTCACACATCCACTGACAGAAGGTGTCCCTACCTCACACATCCACTGACAGAAGGTGTCCCTACCTGACACATCCACTGACAGAAGGTGTCCCTACCTCACACATCCACTGATAGAAGGTGTCCCTACCCGACACATCCAGAAGGTGTTTGACACATCCACTGACAGAAGGTGTCCCTTCCTTACACATCCACTAACTAAAGGTTCCTTACCTGACACATCCACTGACAGAAGGTGTCCCTACCTCACACATCCACTGACTGAAGGTGTCCCTACCTCACACATCCACTGACTGAAGGTGTCCCTACCTCATACATCCACTGACAGAAGGTGTCCCTACCTCACACATCCACTGACAGAAGGTGTCCCTACCTCACACATCCACTGACAGAAGGTGTCCCTACCTCACACATCCACTGACAGAAGGTGTCCCTACCTCATACATCCACTGACTGAAGGTGTCCCTACCTCACACATCCACTGACTGAAGGTGTCCCTACCTCATACATCCACTGACAGAAGGTGTCCCTACCTCACACATCCATTGACAGAAGGTGTCCCTACCTCACACATCCACTGACAGAAGGTGTCCCTACCTCACACATCCACTGACAGAAGGTGTCCCTACCTCACACATCCACTGACAGAAGGTGTCCCTACCTCACACATCCACTGACAGAAGGTGTCCCTACCTCACACATCCACTGACTGAAGGTGTCCCTACCTCATACATCCACTGACAGAAGGTGTCCCTACCTCACACATCCACTTACAGAAGGTGTCCCTACCTCACACATCCACTGACAGAAGGTGTCCCTACCTCACACATCCACTGACAGAAGGTGTCCCTACCTCACACATCCACTAACAGAAGGTGTCCCTACCTGACACATCCACTGACTGAAGGTGTCCCTACCTCACACATCCACTGACTGACGGCGTCCCTACCTCACACATCCACTGACTGAAGGTGTCCCTACCTCACACATCCACTGACAGAAGGTGTCCCTACCTGACACATCCACTGACAGAAGGTGTCCCTACCTCACACATCCACTGACTGAAGGTGTCCCTACCTCACACATCCACTGACAGAAGGTGTCCCTACCTCACACATCCACTGAAAGAAGGTGTCCCTACCTCACACATCCACTGACTGAAGGTGTCCCTACCTCACACATCCACTGACTGAAGGTGTCCCTACCTCATACATCCACTGACAGAAGGTGTCCCTACCTCACACATCCACTGACAGAAGGTGTCCCTACCTCACACATCCACTGACAGAAGGTGTCCCTACCTCACACATCCACTGACTGAAGGTGTCCCTACCTCACACATCCACTAACAGAAGGTGTCCCTACCTGACACATCCACTGACTGAAGGTGTCCCTACCTCACACATCCACTGACTGACGGCGTCCCTACCTCACACATCCACTGACTGAAGGTGTCCCTACCTCACACATCCACTGACAGAAGGTGTCCCTACCTCACACATCCACTGACTGAAGGTGTCCCTACCTCACACATCCACTGACTGACGGCGTCCCAACCTCACACATCCACTGACTGAAGGTGTCCCTACCTCACACATCCACTGACTGACGGCGTCCCTACCTCATACATCCATTGACTGAAGGTGTCCCTACCTCATACATCCACTGACTGAAGGTGGTCTCCCAGTTTGAGCCCTCCTGGTGATGGAGGTAGGCGTTGTAGAGAATCAGCAACAGGTATCTCTCCAGGTGGTCCACGCTGAGCCGCTGCATACTCTGCCTCTGGCTCTCCGTCCGGGCACTCTTGATCTGACACAGTAGCAAGCAACATATCACCCTCATGTACAAGTCAGGCCAGCTATTTGTCAGGCATCTTCCCGAGACAAGGGCGTTAACTGACTATAGACGTCCAACTAGGCTGGAGTTTCTGGGCTCAACCGAAGCGCCACCAGTGGCTAGTGCGAGTTATGTTCCTATTACTGACCAATCAAATTCCTCCTCTCTTATCACTTGCATATGCTTTAAATAAAATGGCGTCGCCCAGTGAAGACGATCTGGTCGATTATCAAGATCTATATTTTAATGAAAAGGGTTTTTACTTCGCAAAGTGCATCAAATCACGTGAGCACCTTGATTAAAAACATGAACATATTTGGAAAATATCTGTTGACGCTCAGTTGATGGTAAACATGCTTTGCAAATCCTGCAATCGACCGAAATCTGCACGGCAGTTTACGAACCGGATGTCAATACGCGATTTTGATTGGACTTTTGATTAGTCCGGCCGAAATATAACTCTATAGTTCCAGCCTTGTTCGGCAAATGTGGTAACGGGACTTTTATGGTCACTTAACTCCCTTGCCTCGGGAAGATGTTTGCCAGGTCGATCTCCGTGTAAGTTATCATACACGCGTGATTATAATAGGGATCTACTTCTCCGGTCGGACTTCTACAAATGGTTAATGTGAGCTTACAGTACGTCACTCAACTATTTCAGCCCAATTCTAACTCCATTATTTCTTATGGACATCGTGACGACTGGAGTGGGGGTACAGGAACAATATCTCAGTCTAACTCATGGCACTAACGACAGCGTTCAGATCTATCCTACCCGTGAAGATCCGGGGTAGAATAGGTCTTCAGCAACCCACGCTTGTCGACGTCGTAGGAGGCGACTGACGGGATCGGGTGGTCAGGCTCGCTGACTTGGTTGATGCATGTCATCGTATCCCAATTGCGAAGATCGATGCTCATGTCAATCTCTGGATTGTCTAGTCCAGACTCGATTATTTTCAGACCGCCGTCATATAGCTTGAATATTGCTGAGTGCGGCGTAAAACAACAAACAACACCACCATCTGATCTACCATGGAAATGCCCATTAAATCGTGAAGCTTTTTTGAAGAATGTCACCGTGTCACAATTACTTTGATGAAATAAAGTATCAAAGGAATCAGAAGTTTGAAGCATGAGTTTAATAGCCCTTTATACCTACCTACATACCTATATTCATGTAGTATGTACTCAGACAAGGGGTGAAATGCGCCACTAATAATCCCGCACGCTTGTCGTCTGTAATTCATTAGATTATATTCAGTGCGGATCTAGTGTGTTATGGTTTCTTTGATCGTCGACGCGAAGGCGTTAATGCATTGCTGCTGTAGTGGACACAAAAGAAGTGCATAGTGATCATTTAAACACACGAAAGCAAATATATTTGGGTTCTCAAAGTTGGAAGTTGACTCGGTGCGAGATTTTACTGGCGCATTTCACTCCTTGTCTTTCAATATGGTAGACCGCTAGGTGTACTACAGTGGGACTATGTCTGCTGACACTCTGCGCATCCGGTGGTGTTGCCGGGATCTCACCTTGTTGTAGGTGACGAAGATGACCTCCCTGAGATGGAAGTGCATGGGACTCATTGTCTCGAACACCTGGTCCAGCACCAGGTCCACCTCGCGCTTCACCTGCTGACCGTCCGGTAACACCCGCACTAACTTCTGGACGATCTGGACAAGAAGGCAGCTTTATGTCAGGTGTATCTAACACGCCCTGTCTTACTCGCAAACCATACACGTTTCCCTTTAATAGCATACACACGTTACACTGCTATACCAAACACACGTTACACTGCTATACCAAACACACGTTACACTGCTATACCACACACGCGTTACACTGATGTACCAAACACACGTTACACTGATGTACCAAACACATGTTACACTGATATACCAAACACATGTTACACTGCTATACCATACACGCGTTACACTGCTATACCATACACGCGTTACACTGCTATACCAAACACACGTTACACTGCTATACCATCCACGCGTTACACTGCTATAACAAACACACGTTACACTGCTATACCATACACGCGTTACACTGATGTACCAAACACACGTTACACCTATGTACCAAACACACGTTACACTGATATACCAAACACATGTTACACTGCTATACCATACACGCGTTACACTGCTATACCATACACCTGTTATATCCTAGACTGCTATACCAAACACACGTTTCACTTAAATATCATACACACGGTACACTGCTAAACCATACACGCGTTACACTGCTAAACCATACACGCGTTACACTGATATACCAAACACATGTTACACTGCTATACCATACACGCGTTACACTGCTATACCATACACCTGTTATATCCTAGACTGCTATACCAAACACACGTTTCACTTAAATATCATACACACGGTACACTGCTAAACCATACACGCGTTACACTGCTAAACCATACACGCGTTACACTGCTATACCAAACACACGTTACACTGCTATACCATACACGCGTTACACTGCTATACCAAACACGCGTTACACTGCTATACCAAACACACGTTACACTGCTATACTATACACGCGTTACACTGCTATACCAAACACACGTTTCACTGCTATACCATACACGCGTTACACTGATGTACCATACATATGTTTAATCCTTGATCAAATACGCCTTTGGTTCACGCGTTACACTGCTATACCAAACACACGTTACACTGATAGTTGACGTACAATGAAGTCTCCCTGTGTGTGTGTTTACATATGAGGTGAACTCGAAATAGAAAGGGGTACAGTTGACGTACAATGAAGTCTCCCTCTCTGTGTGTTTACATATGAGGTGAACTAGCGATAGAAAGGGGTAGTGTGTGTGTGTGTGTGTGTGTGTGTGTGTGTGTGTGTGTGTGTGTGTGTGTGTGTGTGTGGTAAAGGAAGTTGACGTACAATGACGTCTCAGTGTGTGTATATATGGGAGGTGAACTAGAGACACAAGGATATATAGCTGACGTACAGTGAAATCTCCCTGTGTGTGCATACATATGAGGTGAACTAGAGACACAAGGGTATATAGTTGACGTACAATGAAGTCTCCCTCTGTGTGTATACATATGAGGTGAACTAGAGACACAAGGGTATATAGGTGACGTACAATGAAGTATCCCTGTGTGTGTATACATATGAGGTGAACTAGAGACACAAGGGTATATAGGTGACGTACAATGAAGTATCCCTGTGTGTGTATACATATGAGGTGAACTAGAGACACAAGGGTATATAGGTGACGTACAATGAAGTATCCCTGTGTGTGTATACATATGAGGTGAACTAGAGACACAAGGGTATATAGGTGACGTACAATGAAGTATCCCTGTGTGTGTATACATATGAGGTGAACTAGAGACACAAGGGTATATAGGTGACGTACAATGAAGTATCCCTGTGTGTGTATACATATGAGGTGAACTAGAGACACAAGGGTATATAGGTGACGTACAATGAAGTATCCCTGTGTGTGTATACATATGAGGTGAACTAGAGACACAAGGGTATATAGATGACGTACAATGAAGTATCCCTGTGTGTGTATACATATGAGGTGAACTAGAGACACAAGGGTATATAGATGACGTACAATGAAGTCTCCCTGTGTGTAGGCGGCGTTGGGGCAGGACACACGCTCCTCTTCTCCTGGTTTCGAGCCATAGGGGATGCCCTGGTGAACGTGGAGAGGTGAACAGTGTAAACATGGAGGATACTGCGGGTGTCGAGTAACATGTCATGTTTCTCTTATCGAGTGACTAAAATCTTGAAACGTAAATTCTCCCTACCTAACGTTTCAGCACCCCTTTTAGTTAATAGTTAAGTTAACCCCTAATAGTTAAGGCCACGAAAGTTCATTATCATACATTAAGATATGATTTAATACAAAATCAACTTCTACAAAAAATATTCTTGAAATCTACGAGACAACTGTTGGAAGCGAAAGAATACACGCTGATCAAGTAACAAATATGGCGTTTTGCGCAACGAACAGTCCCGATTGACGAGTTAAATGAGAAATTTACAGTTAATAAAGAAACATTTTCTAGAGAATAACAAACAACAAGAAGCGATATTAACTCCGTTAATGACCATCTATAACTGTTTTGTCTTGTTAATGCGGAACTTTGGTAAAAAGGAATTCAACAGTTTGTGTACGGGCAAGACACGTACGATAAAGGGAGGTAACTCTAGCATGTCAATAGTTCAGTCAAAGTATTATGTTCACTGCGGTGAAATATCAATTGTTTTGTTCACTGCAATGAAGCTTTCTCTACTTCAGAAAACTCAGTCTTTCACTCTAAGTAAGTGAGTGAGTATGGTTTTACGCCGCTTTTAGCAATACTCCAGCAATATCAAGGCGGGGGACACCTGAAATGGACTTAACACATTGTACCCATGTCGGGAATCGAACCCAGGTCTTCGGCGCGACGAGCGAACGCTTTAACCACTAGGCTACCCGACCGCCCCTCAAACGTAAAAGGTACTGTTATAGCCGTGATGTCGTGTTAAATGTCAGTGATATTGTGTAATATCGGTTAAACCGTTAAATTGGAGATACCATGTCATGCTATGGTTGTATTGTGCTGTGTCCAAGGTATCGTGTATTATCACACGTGTTAGCTCGGTGATGTATAAGATAGCTACGCGATTAATCGCAAAGAACAATGAAGAACGAAGTGTGGGTTTTTTTCACGATAAAACATTGTTCTATCATGACGTCATTTCTGGAGATTGATGACGTCGTAAATTGGACGACGTTGAATTCGATAGGAAAGTATCTAATGAGTTGTTCCCCATAGATGTAGCTGGGCAACGTAATGGCCGAACGATCGCTTCCAAAAGTGGAAGAGATATGAGAGTCGATATTGTGAGAGAAGCTGCAGATAACCGACGTAAAACTTGTGAGTATGCGGGAAAAAACAAATTTAACCCCCTTGGTAATAAAATGGACTTGTCCGACATTGTCGCATTCGGATTCTATTCAGGGAGTCATTATTATTAAAATATGAGTAAATATTTTTGAAGCGTGTACTTTTTACTAACAGCCTCAAATAGGCTGTACGTAATGTTGATATCTCATATAAGAAATAAACAACTCGTGGTCGTTGTTATCGTACAATAAAACACTGAAGGGAGAATAAACCTATATCTCTTAAATATACTGGTCCTACCCGCTTGTGGTAGAAGATGAGGCCGGCCACAGCCATCGCGAGGGATGTCCTGCTCTTCCCCGTCCTGCACGTGAAGACCAGGCCCACGGTGTCCTCACTCCACGAGTGCTGGGAGGTGTAGTGGCTGCACACCGCGGACTGGATCAGGTCCAGCTCCTGGAGCAGGCAGCAAGGAGTCATATCTCACACCATAGAGGCTGAACACGACAGAGTTATATCTCACACGATAGAGGAGAAGCAGTATAGAGTCATATATCGCACGACTGAGGCGGAACCATATAGAGTCATATCTCACACCATAGAGGCTGAACACGACAGAGTTATATCTCACACGATAGAGGAGAAGCAGTATAGAGTCATATATCGCACGACTGAGGCGGAACCATATAGTGTCATATCTCACACCATAGAGGCTGAACACGAGAGAGTCATATCTCACACGATAGAGGAGGAGCAATATAGAGTCGTATCTCACACGATTAGAAGCGGGACAGTATAGAGTCATATCTCACACAATAGAGGCGAAAGAGTATAGAGTCATATCTCACACGATAGAGGAGAAGCAGTATAGAGTCATATATCGCACGACTGAGGCGGAACCATATAGAGTCATATCTCACACCGTAGAGGCTGAACACGAGAGAGTCATATCTCACACGATAGAAGAGGAGCAATATAGAGTCATATCTCACACGATTAAAAGCGGGACAGTATAGAGTCATATCTCACACAATAGAGGCGAAACTGTATAGAGTCATATCTCACACGATAGAGGAGAAGCAGTATAGAGTCATATATCGCACGACTGAGGCGGAACCATATAGAGTCATATCTCACACCAAAGAGGCGGCACAATAGAGTCATATCTCACAGAATAGAGGAGGAGCAGTATAGAGTCATATCTCACACGATTAGAAGCGGGACAGTATAGAGTCATATCTCACACAATAGAGGCGAAACAGTATAGAGTCATATCTCACACGATAGAGGCGGAGCTGTATAGAGCCATATCTTACATTATAGAGGTAGAACAGTCCAGAGCAATATGTCTCACAATGGCCACAACAGTATATAGTCACGTGTCTCACAACGGCCACAACAGTATATAGTCACGTGTCTCACAAAAGGCAGAAGAGCTGTTATGTGGCAGTATATTTTGATGACAGCAGATTGAAGCGCTCGTAAAATCAGAGTGACATCCCTTAGTTGTTTACAGTTACGTTTACCAAGCTCCGCCCCAGCGCTTCACACATTCGTTATCTTCGCGCTGTGAGGAGCTTGTTGACAGACGTTAAATCACTTCCGGGACATACTTTGCCTTTCGGAAACCTTCGCGAGGTAGCCGTTTCTAGAAGGCTGTCTGTACCTCTATAAGAGCGAGACCAGGACGATATGAGGCCTTCTGTGAGTTATATACCTGTCCCGTGTGGACGGGACATCTAGGTGAAAGTGGTGGATTCCAACACTGAATTTAGGAACGGGTAACGTGCCTCACTCAAGACATCAACTGTGACACATTCGTGGTTGCAATTACTTATGTAACATGGTGTCTTATTGGTTGCTGAGTGAGTGAGTGAGTTAAAATTTAACGTCACATCAGCAATATTACAACCCTATCGTGACGAGTCAAACATTTGCATACAAAGAAATTCCAACTTGTGAAATACCTGTCGCCAAAGGACAGTACAAAAACTAGAGTATCACAGATTTTAGTTAAAACTAGTTATATAGAGTATATAAAAGAATAAGCTACAATTCAACAACACAATATAAAAACGGGTTATAGATCGCCAGCAACCAAAGTTAGGCCACCACACTAGGGACCGAGGGGACTTACGATGCTTTTGCTACCCAGCAGGATTTACACCATCCCTTCAGTCGCTGGCGTTTGTAGTCAATACTAACCACCAATTAAAACTAATAAATATACTACGATTAAAAATGTGATAGTTATAAATTTACTTTGAAATAAATGTAACTTATGTATCCTCTCTGGTAGACAATAATTTTACCACACTAGGGACCGAGGGGACTTACGATGCTTTTGCTACCCAGCAGGATTTACACCATCCCTTCAGTCGCTGGCGATTGTAGTCAATACTAACCACCAATTAAAACTAATAAATATACTACGATTAAAAATGTGATAGTTATAAATTTACTTTGAAATAAATGTAACTTATGTATCCTCTCTGGTAGACAATAATTTTACTGTACTTTAACCCCCTTCGAAGATACAGCCACTTACAATCGCAGTTGTTAATATATTCTACCAAATTTAAAACATAGTTTTTATACAATTTTATTAATTAAAATTTTGCAAACAATTCAATATGTTTTAAAAAAAACTATGATTAAACGAGAGTTATTACTAGTAAAAAGATCCTTAATAGATGATGCTTTGAAATATTGATCCCTTGACCGTGATTCTTTCATCAAAATGGATGCAGAATGGAGGATCCTCACCTTTCAACAAATATTCATGAGTATATCGAGAATGGGCAATACGACATCGTCTTAATACGACCTCTTCAAATCTGGGCAGACAATCCAAGTAGATATAACCTATATTTGCTTTTATTGCATGTAAGTTATTGATACCTACTTGGGTGTCCCACTTCTTCTGCATTTGATCTCTGATGTAACATCTAATGACAGGTTTATAATCTCTGTAGGGTAGAACAAGTGGTGTCACAGATTTGTTGAGAGCTGCTTTTGCTGTAGCATCAGCTAAAGTGTTACCAACGATCCCATCATGGCTGGGTACCCAGCAAAAGACGATGTCGTATTGGCCAGTTGCAAGATTATTGTGTAATTCAATTATGTCAAGTGAAATTGGAAGCTGACACGACATATATTTTATTGCTTGAAGACAGGACAACGAGCCTGAAAAAATAATAAATTCCTTATGTTTAGACTGGTTATTTATATAGTCTAGAGAAGTTTATATTGCCTTTGATTCTGCTGTAAACATTGAAGAGTCATCTTGTAATCTAGTTGATATTTTTCTGGATCCAATGATGATGGCGCTGGCAACAGCACCTCCATCCTTGGATCCATCTGTTAATATTGATTTGTAAGTGTTATATTGGCTTCTTAACTGATTATATTCTTGTTTATATTGTAATTGGTTAGTGTCATATTTCTTTAGTTTAGATAATGTAAGATCCACATGTGGCTTTACCAATTGCCAAGGAGGAGAAGAAAGCAGGCGGAAAGGAGATATATTTTCGAGTTCAATTTTTGCAGCAGAAATGAAAGGTTTAATTCTGATTTCGAGTGCTGCTGCCACATATTTGACCCATTGTATTGTCTTTTATTATGATTAAACCAAGTTTGTGTATTTCAATATCATTTTTTTAATTAGTAATTGATCTTTTGAGGTAATTTACATTACAGTCACATCTTCCACAATAAAGACAGAAGTGTACCGTGTCATGCCTCCAACAACAGATTCCTACCTTCTCTGTGGGCGAGTGGTCGTATTGTATAGGTAGTCTGGTATAGCTCATATCAAGTGTTTGAAGCTTTTGCTGTTCCCACAGATCCTCCGGTGACAGGACGCTGCCAAACTCCATGGTAACGGGCGGTCTGTTGGTCTCCGTGTACACCTGGAGATGTACCGTATTTCTTCTAATGAGGACTGATTCAGAGCCGGGTGACTCAAAACGTAGAGATTTCACCCCATTGTGAGTTTACATTAAATGTAGTAACTATAAAGTGTACTTACATAAACCGTCCCCTCTCGTTACAGATACGAAACGAAAAAATGCAGGGCCTCCAATAAATACCGGGTCTCATATAATAGCCGGGCCTCTAATAAATATCGGCCCCTAATAAGAGCCGGCCTCTAATATTGACCGTATTTGAAAGGAAACATCACTTATTAAGGGCCCGGGTATGAATGAGAGAGAGAGTGAGAGAGAGAGCGCTCACTTTGACGCACAAAATATGACGTCACAGTCGGTTACAAAACTGTGATTTGATATACCTCCAATTTACTAATCAGAATCGTTTAAAATCCGAAATCCATAGTAGAAATAATTATATCTGTAAACGCACAAAAATGCTAATATAGCATGCGGTAGATACTGAAATACTACAACATTCCTGCTGGAGCTCTGGGGGTAAGACAGAAGTATTGGGTTCATCGTCCTTTAATATTGTGACGCCCCTTTAAAAAACCCGTGTTATTGTTGTTGCTTTTAAATTCGTTTCAGTGGTTTTGTAAACCTAAAGCCGTAACAAAGAAACTCAGTAAAAATAGAATGTAATTATCAGCGTACGAAAACTACTGACCTCCAGTTCCTTATAGGACTTCACTTCTTTCTTCAGAGTTTCCTCTTTTTCCTAAAACATACAGCCGCGACACAATGACTAATGAGTAATATGACTCGGATAATACCTGTCCGATACAAATCCTTGTCTGAGCCATCGCATAAACAACCATCAAAATATTGAACCGATTGCTGCGGAGGGGGCTAAAAATACTGCAGAGATTATACGGCCGCTTCCACTACTGTTTGACAAGGCGTCACGGCCATAATAAAAACGGGGAAAAGCCCTGAGGCGATAATGTCGCAGTCTGCTTTTAGAGATCAGTGGGTGCTGATTCAATCTTGACAGAGGCGTCTTCCTGTCAGTCCCTGTTGCCGAGCCGCCCTAATCACACAAGTTATATCTGGGCGAGCTTGTCTCGAGGAGACGTATGATTGTCGAAGACATCGGGAAAACAATATGAGGGGAACGAATATAGTTATGACGACGAGGAAACGCTTTTTGTGTTATAGGTCATGTGATATGAATTATGATGGTTTAATCAATGAATATCTTGCATACTGCTTTGACGTTATACGACAACTCAACAGTTGTAACCTTGAATAATTATCATAACCGTCTTCTTAAACAGAGAATATGTTGCGGTAACGTGGGTGAGTGAGGAGGATTTTATGCACTTAAGCAACATTCGCGTGGGTCAGAGGGTAAGTGGTCGAACCAGAACCCGGTTTCTGCTTGAGGAGCGAACGCTTTAACCACTTGGCTACCCCCGCCCGACTAGTTGACCTTTGCTTTGCTTTCATCTCCCTCATGTTGAGCTTCTGAAATAAAATAAATGCCTCCATCAGTGTATGAGTACTTGTGTCTGTGTCGATGGACTATGTACCTCTAATTCACTTGCAGTTGTCTCCACAATCAAGACTGGTTCTTCCAGATTGCTGACGTCACGCACGTTATAGGTGGCGCCATCACACTCTACTGTGACGTCATTCCTGAGACCTATGACCGCCACATGCTTGTATCCCTGGCGCTTGTCCAGCAGATGACTGACAACCCGAGACAAACCCTGAAACACAGGTGACATCCAAATTCAACTTGAAATAGTGAATGTAATTCGGAAGGTAAATGCCTAAATATGTGAAAGCATTCTACGATGGAAGATATCTATTAATGCTAACTACCTCCGTCTGTCACACATATCCCCTTGTCTAGAGGACGGTGTCTGTCGACCTATCCCCTTGTCTAGAGGACGGCGACAGTGTCTGTCAATCTATCCCATTGTCTAGAGGACGGTGTCTGTCAATCTATCCCTTTGTCTAGAGGACGGCGACGGTGTCTGTCAATCTATACCTTTGTCTAGAGGACGGCGACAGTGTCTGTCAATCTATCCCCTTGTCTAGAGGACGGCGACAGTGTCTGTCACACATATCCCATTGTCTAGAGGACAGTGTCTGTCAATCTATCCCCTTGTCTAGAGGACGGCGACAGTGTCTGTCAATATATCCCATTGTCTAGAGGACAGTGTCTGTCACTCTATCCCCTTGTCTAGAGGACGGTGTCTGTCAATCTATCCCTTTGTCTAGAAGACGGCGACAGTGTCTGTCAATATATCCCATTGTCTAGAGGACAGTGTCTGTCACTCTATCCCCTTGTCTAGAGGACGGTGCCTGTCAATATATCCCTTTGTCTAGAGGACGGCGACAGTGTCTGTCAATCTATCCCTTTGTCTAGAGGACAGCTACAGTGTCTGTCACTCTATCCCCTTGTCTAGAGGACGGTGTCTGTCACTCTATCCCCTTGTCTAGAGGACGGCGACAGTGTCTGTCAATCTATCCCATTGTCTTTGGACGCTGACATAGTTCCTTGTCTACTGTTCCCCCTTGTCTGGGGAATTGCGACACGCAGTCTGCCCCCCGTGTACTCACGTCCCGCGGAGCCTGCGCCATGCCGTAGATCGGGAGCCCCATCAACTTGCGGAAGTTGGCGACCCGGACGTCACATTGCGACCCCAGCACGTCCAGACCAATGTAGTCGTCGGCTACCTTCAGAAGGAAACAGTCACATTCACAAACATTGTATAGAACGGAGGACGCTACCAGAGAAACATGTTGGGATTACAGAGTGATCCTGAAGCATCACAAACAATGCCAGACACAAATCCACTTACTTATCGAGGCTCTGTTCGTAAGAGTGAGACATATCCTATGTAAACTGGAATAAAAATTTAAGTGACTCTAAATTACACATAATCCAAGTCTATCTCCATAACCCTAGAGAATAAGTTTAAAAAGACCAACTCAAATCTAGAATGATTGGGCAAGTGTAGATTGTGACAGTTCTAGGCAACAGCCAGTAGCTGTGGACGACATCAACGTCACTTTAAAATATGGATGCCTCAAATCCGATCTGGGTTATTACAAAAACACTATAGAGTGGCAACCCACTGACACATGGTTCACGGCAGCAAGGTGACACTGGAGTCTACCACTTACTAAAACTCGGGTTTGTGGTATGAGCAACTGTTGTGGGGACCTCTCGCTGTTGTCTGCACGGCACGTGAGTTTGATGAGATTTGGGTGAGTTTGCATCCACTTGGAGAACATAATGCTGAGACCTCTGGGAACCTAGACAGGAAGGAAGGTATTTAACAGGAACTCATACAATACTGGAAGACACGTGTTGAGACCACTTTAAAATTAGTTCGTAAAAGCGTTGATCGTCACGCCTAAAACCGGGTTCTATGTTCCTACCGCTGGATTCTCTCACCTGTTCTTTGAGGTATGCGTTGAAGCAGATGATGGTGATGTATCGCTCCAGGAGGGATGTGCACTCGCTCCTCAACTCTGCTCTCGCCACCTGGTCCTGTGTAGATAAGTAGACATAGCCTCATAACACTGCCTTTAGATAAACCACTGTTTAAATCGTAGGCTTGACACTTAAAGTGCGAGACCTACGGTCGGTGTTCAAGAGATGGCATCGCGTTAATCGTAATGCTACGCTTTCCCTTCTGCTATGCCCTGTGTAAAGCTCTTCCCTAACATACGGCCTTCGTAAGTTATGCTCTCCCTTAAATATGTTCCACGTAATGCTACGCTGTACGCAATGCTACGCTCTGCCCTATGCTACGTCCTACATAATGGTGCGCTCTGTCTATTGCTATGTCCTGCGTAAGCCTACGCTCTCCCGTAAGATCTACTCAATGCTACGCTCTCCCCTATGCTACGACCTTCGTAAGTCACTGTCTCACGTATATAAGCTCTCCGTAATGCTACGCTCTCCCATATCTACGCCCTACGTTAGTTTACGCTCTCCGGACGTACTCTGCTCGTCTCCAGCTGCTGCTTGGTTTGCAGGATGGCGCTTCTCAGGTTGGTGGCAGCGGAGCACTGGTCAATCACGGTGTCCACCTACAACAGGACGTGCATTCTAACCATTACCCGGGCGATAGAACAACATCAGCAGCACAATGTGATGGGAGCACAAGACATACTTTGGAACCAGGACACACACGTTGGACTACAACATATAAGTTGGGGTGTGTGGGACTTGGCAAGTAATCTACTAGTATATGGCTGAAATATTGCTGAAGCAACATTAGCCTTCAACTCGCGCACTCACCTGGTGTTTCAGCAGGGCTCCGTCGGGAAGAGCACGCACCAGGTCCCGCACAACCTGGAACTCGCCACGGCCGTAATGGGGACATCTGTCGTTTATCTGGCAGACGGTCTTACTGAAGTCACAAATGGACAGATACCACGTGACACAGCGATATTTACCCATGACAACAAAAAGAGGAGAGTATCAACAAAGAATGAGATGTAACTGCGTTGTTTAGGAAGGATGTCAATACGCCTGATGACAAGACCGTGACTGGAGTTAACAAGATTCCAGTCACGTTCGCAGGAAAACAAGACACCGCTGAAGGATGAAAAATATAGCTAAATCCATTACTGACATGTAATGCTTCAGCGTGGTAGATTAAGAAGTTTTGTATTGTTTATCGTTTAACGTCGCACTCAGCAATATTCAAAACTATATGACTGCGGTCTGTAAATAATCGAATCTAGACCAGACAATACAGTGATTGATAGCATGAGCACCGACCTACGTAGTCGAGTATAAGTTGGTAAAGTCCAGTTACCTGGTCTGTGCGTTGGATGCGGAAAGATGCGAGTATAACAGCGACGTCAGCACCATCCCCAGAGTCGACCGTTCTTTGCCGTTGTCACACACGAACAGCACCGCCGGGAGGTCGGGGGACCGGTCGCACTACACACAAGGAAACATTTCATGCGATGCACGAGCACGGCAGCAAACTCTTTGTTGGTAAAATTCTAGTAAAACAATTTCCCCATGGTCATTTTGGAAGACTATTACGAAAAATATTCGGAATGTTATATCAACACATAAACATTTAGAAGAAGAAATAATACTCGAACGCATTTTCCGTTCACTCGTTCCACTTCTGTATGTTTCACTATTGCTTTAGAGCGTCCGCCCGGAGAGCGGAAGGTTCGGAGTTCGATCCCCGGTCGCATCATACCAAAAGACGTTAAAAGACGTTAAAAGTTAACTTGTTGTTACCCTGTCTGGCGCTCGGCATTAAGGGGCTAAAACAAGGACTGGTCGGCTCGGAGTCAGTATACTGTGTCTGAGTGGGATATTCATGTTAAACTGCGGGATGGTATCTCAGTGAGCTAGCACTATAAATCGGCATCAGTCCGGACTAGTACAAGCAGCCACACAAACACACACACGTGCATGCACGTCGCTATATAAGTCCAATAATCTTGGACGCGACGTTAAACCCCAATTCACCTCACCTCACTTCACTATTGCTTTGCCTCGTATGGAGTTACCTCCCGTAATGAATTCAGAAACTCTGCTGGACTATTCAGGTCACGGGTCTCCCTTTCATTATTGTGAAAAATTTAGGATTCGTTAAAAAATAAATTGAACAACTAACAATATAATGGGAATGTGTAAAACATACATACCAACAGTGAATTGTCACAGACAGTTGTAGACAAAATTGGGAAGCATGAATTTCCTATAGAATTATCCATTAACCCCCTTGTGCCCCAAAACAGAAGTGTATAAATAAATATCATCAGTGTCTTCAATATGTGCAACACAATCAACGTGGAGGTTCTGCACGGCTTGTGTAATATCAAAATCATCGATATCCCGCACTTCTAAATATGTTCATTAAACAAAGTGTATAGATTTTATACATATATATCGTATACCTGATTATCAAACACTAAAACTAGGCAATATGAGGGACCACTGGAAACAAGCAGGTGTTGCTTGGGACCTGTTCTAACCATGACTCCCCACAGAGTTTTCTGATGTATGATATCCGACGTGCATACAAAGTTGCATCAAGAATATTAAACACTTGATGAGTTCTACACCAGAACCATACGGTCATTTGGAACTTAGTCAGAAATGTTGTCATTGAAACCCAAAATTAGATTCAAGAATTCATATCAGTGTTTTATGAGTTGGGCTCCAGAAATTAACTTTCTTTGAACAGCAAAAGGCACAAGTTTAGCACGTATGTACTGAACTGGAACCGTTTGTGAGTAACGCCCCGAAACGAAACGTGACAGTACCAGTAATTGGCTGAAGAGAACCCTGGTCGACAGCAAACAAGCGTACACATTTACCGCCAGACCCTCGTTATATTTCTTACAGCAATCACAAAGATAATCAGAAAACTAGAGCTGTCAGCGCCAGATTGGTAAGAGATTAGCCCTGAACTGACAACAGAGAATATTTACACGATCCAAAGTAGACGATGTAAAGTGTCGCGGTAAATTGGTGGAGATGTGCTGACATTTCTACCGTCATTAATCCGGGATGAATCAGATGAGCGTGTTCGAGAAATGCGAACTGAAGACAATGATTCCAACACTTACAAGTCTGACATTTAGCTTCATCTCTGATAGGAAGTTGTCAATCTCCTTCATAGAGGGCGCTCCAGAGACAGGGAAACACAGGCGCCGAGTCCTAGGGAAGATAACACAACCGGAAGTTGACGTCATGTGCGCATATTGCTGCAATAATCACGAAATCTGGTAATATTGTTTAAGACAACCATGGACCAGCGTGGAGCCCTGTGTGGAGCCCAGTGTGGAGCTTGACAGAAATAGGGGGAATGGTTTGCATGTGTGGGGTTTTGTAAAAATACACGACAGTCAAATGGTCAGTGTTGTTTGTTTGTTTGTATGTTGATTAACGCCGTACTCAGCAATATTCCAGCTATATGACGGCGGTCTGTAAATAATTGAGTCTGGACCAGACTATCCAGTGATTGACATTATGAGCATCGATCCACGCTATTGGGATTCGATGACATGCATCAACCAAGTCAGCGAGCCTGACCACCCGATCCCGTTAGTCACCTCTTACGACAATTATAGTCGCCTTTTACGGCAAGCAAGGGTTGCTGAAGACCTATTCTACCCTAGATCTTCACGGGCACTATGATAATGGTTTACGTCTATACCCTTATCATATGTTTGTCACAGATCATAGTTCTTAAGACAGTGTAGATCGGATTGAAGAATATTATCGCACTGGGCTCAGAAGACAAAAAGTACAACGATAAGTGGATACCGGATAAGCGCGTTATACTGAGGGCTTTGCTCCACGTTTAACGGTTCACTTAAATGTGGTGTGCTTCGCTCCAGTGAACTTGTGAAATAGTGACCAGTTTAGACAGCATCACAAAGTTTTAGTTACATGACGTAATGTTTTTATTGGGTGACATGGAGCCTGTGTATAGAGGGGTGACGTGGAGCCTGTGTATAGATCCACACGAGGATGTGTATAGAGGGGTGACGTGGAGCCAGTGTATAGAGAGGTGACGTGGAGCCTGTGTATAGAGGGGTGACATGGAGCCAGTGTATAGATCCACACGAGGATGTGTATAGAGGGGTGACATGGATCCTGTGTATAGAGAGGTGACGTGGAGCCTGTGATAGAGAGGTGATATGGAGACTGTATATAGATCCACGTGAGCCTGTGTATTGAGAGGTGACGTTGAGCCTGTGTATAGAGAGGTGACGTGGAGACTGTGTATAGAGAGTGACATTGTGCTAGTGTAAAGAGGGGTGACGTTGAGCCTGTGTATAGAGAGGTGACATGGAGACTGTGTATAGAGAGTGACATTGTGCTAGTGTATAGAGGGGTGACGTTGAGCCTGTGTATAGAGAGGTGACGTGGAGCCTGTGTATAGAGAGGTGACGTTGAGCCTGTGTATAGAGGGGTGACGTTGAGCCTGTGTATAGAGAAGTGACGTGGAGCCTGTGTATAGAGAGGTGACGTGGAGCCTGTGTATAGAGGGGTGACATGGAGCCTGTGTATAGAGGGGTGACGTGGAGCCTGTGTATAGAGGGGTGACGTGGAGCCTGTGTATAGAGGGGTGACATGGAGCCTGTGTATAGAGGGGTGACGTGGAGCCTGTGTATAGAGGGGTGACGTGGAGCCTGTGTATAGAGGGGTGACATGGAGCCTGTGTATAGAGGGGTGACGTGGAGCCTGTGTATAGAGGGGTGACGTGGAGCCTGTGTATAGAGGGGTGACATGGAGCCTGTGTATAGAGGGGTGACGTTGAGCCTGTGTATAGAGAGGTGACGTGGAGCCTGTGTATAGAGAGGTGACGTGGATCCTGTGTATAGAGGGGTGATATGGAGCCTGTGTATAGAGGGGTGACGTGGAGCCTGTGTATAGAGGGGTGACGTGGAGCCTGTGTATAGAGGGGTGACATGGAGCCTGTGTATAGAGAGGTGACGTTGAGCCTGTGTATAGAGGGGTGACGTTGAGCCTGTGTATAGAGAGGTGACGTTGAGCCTGTGTATAGAGAGGTGACGTGGAGCCTGTGTATAGAGGGGTGACATGGAGCCTGTATATAGAGACTGACATTGTGCTAGTGTATAGAGAGGTGATATGGAGCCAGTGTATAGATCCACACGAGGATGTGTATAGAGGGGTGACATGGAGCCTGTATATAGAGAGGTGACGTGGAGCCTGTGTATAGAGGGGTGACGTGGAGCCTGTGTATAGAGGGGTGACGTGGAGCCTGTGTATAGAGGGGTGACGTGGAGCCTGTGTATAGAGGGGTGACGTGGAGCCTGTGTATAGAGAGTGACATTGTGCTAGTGTATAGAGGGGTGATATGGAGCCTGTATATAGATCCACACGAGCCCGTGTATAGAGAGGTGACGTTAAGCCTGTGTATAGAGGAGTGACATGGAGCCTGTGTAAAGAGAGTGACAAGGCGCTAGTGTAAAGAGGGGTGACATGGATCCGGCTCCCGACCTGTAGTCAGGGAAGTGGAAACAGAGGCGTGTGTACACCTCCTCCGCCACCAGCAGGTCGTCCTCACAGTTGATGTCCACCACGTGGGGCTCCCCATCCAGGCACGTGACGTTGTTGTAGAAGTGGAACTTGTTGACGTCATCAAGACTACTGAGGTCCACAACCTGATAGACAGAACAGTGTGTCAGCAATATTGTCAGTTTAGTGTCAGCAATGTTGTCAACTTAATGTCAGGAATGTTGTCAACTTAATGTCAGCAATGTTGTCAGCTTCAGCTAAATGTCATCAATATTGTCATCAATGTTGCCAGCTAAATGTCAGCAATAGGTGGAGCCTATTTGTCATCAATGTTGCCAGCTTAATGTCACACATGTTGTCAGCTTAATGTCAGCAATGTTGTCAGCTTAATGTCAGCAATGGTGTCAACTTAATGTTGTCATTTGTTTGCTGTCAGTCTCATAACGCCAGTCAAGGATGTGTAACACTTGCCGTGTTGCGCTGACAGATACAATAGCATCGTCGGAGGAACCTGGAATCCAACCTTAACAAGCGGATCCTGACACGAATAAGGGACGCAATTCAAAGTATCACTATAACGGTGTTCATAAACATGAGCGGAGCACATGATAAGTGTTCTTCCTACCTCCTTCCTGATGCGCGCCTCTCTCTCGCTGGTCTCAGGATCCGATTGCCCGAGGTTGACAATGTCGTGCAGGTGATCAGCGTGTCTGATGGTGTATGTAGCGTTCACGCCGGTGGGGAATAGCACAGCCTCCTCCCGCGTGTTGAAAAGTATGAGTCTCTGTCAAGGGGAAAAATTGTTGTTTCATCTTCAGTACAGGATCTTATATAGCTGGAATACCCTTCTCATATGCATGTCTATACAATTAATCTCATTGGAATATATATATATATGGTTCTGCATGGTGTGGACTTTACATGACACCATGACTCCTGCTGCCAGTGAGTACAGTTTGCAGTACGATATAACATATAATAGAAAGAAAATACGTTAACTGTCCCTCTGTCATACTATTACGATAAGACAATAACATAACTTGAACATGAGGAATATCGAGGTACAAATTGTGACAAGATGACACCGAATCTTAGAGAGGTCAAATATCCACCCAAGCATACATATGTCATGTTAATTATCTTGAGAATGGTTAAGAAACTACGGATACGGAGTGTAGCCCAAGGGGATGTAGGGATGGTTGGGATCTCCGCCACGTATCGACTGCGAGAAACACCTACTGACGAGATCAAGATGTTGGAAAGCGCTGTAAATCTATAACTACATTCAATCCCAGTCTTAATCCAATCCAGTGTCACTCACTCACCCTGATGTGATGGGACTTTGAAAAAGACCTGATGTGGGATCTGGTTTCAGAAGCCCTCTACCACGTCGACTGTTGGTTCGGGGTCTTTGATTATGTTTTATTAACCTTCATTATCCTCACCGACTTTAGTCTACGTCGCGGCCGGTCGGGTAGCCTAGTGGTTAAAGCGTTCGCTCCTCACGCCGAAGACCCGGGTTCGATTCCCGACATGGGTTCAAAATGTGAAGCCAATTTCTGGTGTCCCCCGTTGTGAAATTGCTGGAATATTGCTAAAAGCGGCGCAAATACTCACTCACTCACTCACCCTGTGTCGTCCTTGATGAGTCTTCTACAAACTTAATATTTATATGTCCCTGGGCTGAAGCAGGTCTTCACAACCGCAATGATAACCCTACTTCGCCTAAAGAAGGTCTTCACAAACTTAATGATAACCCTGCCTCGGCTGAAATAGGACTTCGTAAACGCAATGACAACCCTACCTCGGCTGAAGTAGGTCTTCACAAACGCAATGATAACCTTACCTCTGCTTACATAGGTCTTCACAAACGCAGTGACAACCCTACCTCTGCTGAAAAAGGTCTTCACAAACGCAGTGACAACCCTACCTCTGCTGAAATTGGTCTTAATAAACGCAGTGACAACCCTACCTCGGCTGAAGTAGGTCTTTACAAACGCAGTGACAACCCTATCTCTGCTGAAATAGGTCTTCACAAACGCAATGATAACCTTACCTCTGCTGAATTAAGTCATCACAAACGCAATGATAACCCTTTCTCGGCTGAAGTAAGTCATCACAAACGCAATGATAAACCTTCCTCGGCTGAAGTAGGTCTTTACAAACGCAGTGACAACCCTACCTCTGCTGAAATAGGTCTTTACAAACGCAGTGACAACCCTACCCTCTGCTGATAATAGGTCTTCACAAACGCAATGATAACCTTACCTCTGCTGAATTAAGTCATCACAAACGCAATGATAACCCTTCCTCGGCTGAAGTAAGTCATCACAAACGCAATGATAAACCTTTTTCGGCTGAAGTAGGTCTTTACAAACGCAGTGACAACCCTACCTCTGCTGAAATAGGTCTTCACAAACGCAGTGACAACCCTACCTCTGCTGAAATAGGTCTTTACAAACGCAGTGACAACCCTACCTCTGCTGAAACAGGTCTTCACAAACGCAGTGACAACCCTACCTCTGCTGAAATAGGTCTTTACAAACGCAGTGACAGCCCTACCTCTGCCGAAATAGGTCTCTACAAACGCAATGATAACCTTACCTCTGCTGAATTAAGTCATCACAAACGCAATGATAACCCTTCCTCAGGTGAAGTAAGTCATCACAAACGCAATGATAAACCTTCCTCGGCTGAAGTAGGTCTTTACAAACGCAGTGACAACCCTACCTCTGCTGAAGTAAGTCATCACAAACGCAATGATAAACCTTCCTCGGCTGAAGTAGGTCTTTACAAACGCAGTGACAACCCTACCTCTGCTGAAATAGGTCTTTACAAACGCAGTGACAACCCTACCTCTGCTGAAATAGGTCTTCACAAACGCAGTGACAACCCTACCTCTGCTGAAATTGGTCTTAATAAACGCAGTGACAACCCTACCTCGGCTGAAGTAGGTCTTTACAAACGCAGTGACAACCCTATCTCTGCCGAAATAGGTCTTCACAAACGCTATGACAGCCCTACCTCTGCTGAAATAGGTCTTCACAAACGCAATGATAACCCTTCCTCGGCTGAAGTAAGTCATAACAAACGCAATGATAAACCTTCCTCGGCTGAAGTAGGTCTTTACAAACGCAGTGACAACCTTACCTCTGCTGAAATAGGTCTTTACAAACGCAGTGACAACCCTACCCTCTGCTGAAGTAAGTCATCACAAACGCAATGATAAACCTACCTCGGCTTAAATAGGTCTTCACAAACGCAATGATAACCCCACCTCTGCTGAAGAAGTTTTTCGCAATCGCAATAATGACCTTTCCTCGGCAGAAGTAGTTAGTTTACACAAATTGTAAATCACTATATCTACGCTGAACTATGTCTTCACAACACTTTTTATTTACCTGTACGCAGCGCTTAGCCACTATCGGACCTTGAAAAACGTATAAAATACTGCCTCCGGAATTTGATTATTCTGCAGGATTGTAAGACAAGGACAAGAATACTATGTACCTGATGTTTGGCGAGAAGGTATTTAACGATACTGTGTACACCATCCCGATCTGGCTGAGCACACCCGAACACAGGCAAGGTATTGTCTGCCTGTATGAAGCCACGACACTTGTCTGGGGCGTTGCCACCAGACGCTGACTTGGTCGACGGAGAAGCGTGCAGATATTTGTTGTCTGCATCAGCGTTCCCTCCAGTGATACCATCGACGACCAGGAAGTACTTGCCCTGAAGACACAAAAGTGACACACTGATATATAACGTACATCAGACAAGAGTTGGGTTAAACCCCTTTTTGAGCTGCAGTATTTAACGGCGTTTCAGCTCCAGAGTGATGCAGCTCCTAGTCGATTACCACTTTGATCATACCCCCAGCAGAGTCAGCTATATAATGGAAGGACCTACTTCTATATAGCCGTGACTGCCATCTTCAATTGAAGCACATACTACTATATAGCCGTACCTGTCATCTTCAATTGAAGCTCATACTACTAAATAGCCACACCTGTCTTCTCCGGTGTAAGCACATACTACTATACAGACATATTTGTCATCTCCGGTGTAAGCGATGTAAGCACATACTACTATATTTGTCATCTTCAATTGAAGCACATACTACTTTATAACGCCACGTGTCAACATCAATGGTAGCATATACTACTACTATATAGCCGTACTTGTCATCTTCAATGGTAGCACATACTACTAGTATTTAGCCGTACCTGTCATCTTCAGTTGAAGCACATAATACTAAATAGCCATACCTATCATCTCTGGTGTAAGCACATACTACTACTATTTAGCCGTACCTGTCACCTCCGGTGTAAGAACATACTACTATATAACCATACCTTTCATCTTCAATTGAAGCACATACTACTACTATATAGCCGTACCTGTCATCTTCAATGGAAGCACATACTACTACTATTTAGCCGTACCTGTCACCTCCGGTGTAAGCACATACTACTATATAACCATACCTTTCATCTTCAATTGAAGCACATGCTTATACTATATAGCCGTACTTGTCATCTTCAATTGAAGCACATACTACTATATAGCCGTACCTGTCATCTTCAATTGAAGCACATACTACTACTTTATAGCCGTACCTGTCATCTTCAATGGTAGCAAATAACACTACTATATAGCCGTACCTGTCATCTCCGGTGTAAGCACATACTACTATATAACCATGCCTGTCATCTTCAATTGAAGGACATACTACTTTATAACGCCACATGTCAACATCAATGGAAGCTCATACTACTACTATTTAGCCGTACCTGTCATCTCCACTTGAGGCACATACTACTATATAGCCGTACCTGTCATCTTCAATAGAAAGGCATACTACTGTATGATCATGCCTGTCACCTCCAGGTGAGGGACATATAGCCATAGAGCGCCACTTGTCAACATCAGGTGAAGCACATGCAGCCATAGAGCGCCACTTGTCACCTCCAGGTGAAGCACATATAGCCATAGAGTGCCACTTGTCAACATCAGTGCAAGCATATATAGCCATAGAGTGCCACTTGTCACCTCCAGGTGAAGCACATATAGCCATAGAGCGCCACTTGTCACCTCCAGGTGAAGCACATATAGCCATAGAGTGCCACTTGTCACCTCCAGGTGAAGCACATATAGCCATAAACGCCGCTTGTCACCTCCAGTTGAAGCACATATAGCCATAGAGTGCCACTTGTCACCTCCAGGTGAAGCACATATAGCCATAAACACCGCTTGTCACCTCCAGGTGAAGCACAAATAGCCATAGAGTACCACTTGTCACATCAGTGCAAGCACATACAGCCATAGAGTGCCACTTGTCACCTCCATGTGAAGCTTATACAGCCATAGAGCGCCACTTGTCACCTCCAGGTGAAGCACATACAACCATAGAGCGCCTCTTGTCAACATCAAGCAAGCACATACAACCATAGAGTGCTACTTGTCACCTCCAGGTGAGGCACATACAACCATAGAGCGCCACTTGTCACCTCCAGGTGAGGCACATACAACCATAGAGCGCCACTTGTCAACATCAAGCAAGCACATACAACCATAGAGTGCTACTTGTCACCTCCAGGTGAGGCACATACAACCATAGAGCGCTACTTGTCACCTCCAGGTGAGGCACATACAACCATAGAGCGCCACTTGTCACCTCCAGGTGAAGCACATACAACAATAGAGCGCCACTTGTCAACATCAAGCAAGCACATACAACCATAGAGCGCTACTTGTCAACATCAGTGCAAGGGCATACAACCATAGAGCGCCACTTGTCAACATCAAGCAAGCACATACAACCATAGAGTGCCACTTGTCAACATCAGTGCAAGGGCATACAACCATAGAGCGCCACTTGTCAACATCAAGCAAGCACATACATCCATAGAGCGCCACTTGTCACCTCCAGGTGAAGCACATATAGCCATAGAGTACCACTTGTCAACATCAAGCAAGCACATACAACCATAGAGCGCCACTTGTCAACATCAGTGCAAGGACATACAGCCATAGAGTGCCACTTGTCACCTCCAGGTGAAGCTTATACAGCCATAGAGTGCCACTTGTCAACATCAAGCAAGCACATACAGCCATAGAGCGCCACTTGTCAACATCAAGCAAGCACATACAGCCATAGAGTGCCACTTGTCAACATCAGTGCAAGGACATACAGCCATAGAGTGCCACTTGTCACCTCCGGGTGAAGCTTATACAGACATAGAGCGCCACTTGTCAACATCAGTGCAAGGACATACAGCCATAGAGCGCCACTTGTCACCTCCAGGTGAAGCTTATACAGCCATAGAGTGCCACTTGTCACCTCCAGGTGAAGCACATACAACCATAGAGCGCCACTTGTCACCTCCAGGTGAAGCTTATACAACCATAGAGCGCCACTTGTCAACATCAGTGCAAGGACATACAGCCATAGAGTGCCTCTTGTCACCTCCGGGTGAAGCTTATACAGCCATAGAGCGCCACTTGTCAACATCAGTGCAAGGACATACAGCCATAGAGCGCCACTTGTCAACATCAGTGCAAGGACATATAGCCATAGAGCGCCACTTGTCAACATCAGTGCAAGGACATATAGCCATAGAGTGCCACTTGTCACCTCCGGGTGAAGCTTATACAGCCATAGAGCGCCACTTGTCAACATCAGTGCAAGGACATACAACCATAGAGCGCCACTTGTCAACATCAGTGCAAGGACATATAGCCATAGAGCGCCACTTGTCAACATCAGTGCAAGGACATATAGCCATAGAGTGCCACTTGTCAGTAACAAAGGCAGGATATGGAACCGTGGTGACGAGTGGCGCCTATTATAGACCACTGCATGGCGTGAAGGCACGACGATTAAAGGTTAAAACATAGACTAATATTAACAGGAACAGTGATGCTTTTTTACACTATTTAAAGGCTTATCACAACAATGAAAGGTTTTACACCATCTAATGGCATCTGTATAAACTAAAAGGTTATTTCACTTCAAATGGCAAATTTGACCAATGGAAGGTTTTAACATCTTCTAATGGCATATAGGACGAATGAGACGCTAGCACTGATGAAACACTACAACCTGTGATGACATCACTGCCCCCCACTCCCACCCCAGCTTCAAGCCAAATACACCTTCGTGCAACCACTGAACAGGCTGACAAGCTGCAGAACATGAAAGCTTGACTTGGCAGTAGGTGATATGTTCAGCTTCAATTGAACTTGACAGACTTCGCTTGAAGCCCCTTTGATTTTTTCTGCAACGGCCATTATGCTTTGAAAAAAATCAATATGATGTGACAAGATGTGTTTACATTTGAACCTGGTACTGGATCTATGTTTGAAAACTTATTTGTGATGACGGACTCCCGCATCAAATTCTCCGTTTTTAGTGTGTTGAGTATGTGGGTCTCCGTACTTCACGTGTACGTGATACTCTCTCTGTACGTGATGCTCTCTCTGTACGTGATGCTCTCTCTGTACGTAATGCTCTCTCTGTACGAGACGTGCGACACACGGGGCAGGCCTGCAGGGGTATACTGGCGATTCCTCATTTTAAAGCAATTAAGTTCTAGACAAAATCATACAAGAAGCAATCGATATTTCCTTAGGTGCATAATACGAATGCGAAATGTGAGAAGCTGTCATTTGGAAAAAAATCCATAAACTCTAGAAGACGTTGTTCTACCACAATACAGGGTCAATGAGCAAATCTCCCCTCGCCCTTCAGCATTAGGCATCATTGCAACGTTGCTTGGTCTTCATCCAAACGGCTATCACGTGTTGGACTTAAACAAATAGAGGAAAACGTGATAAAATTGTACCTGGCAGCATCGATATTCTTGAAATACTGCTGCAGTAATTGAAACCGGGCCTGTAATGCCACCTGGGTCGGTTACACGGGCGTGACGTGTTCTGTGACATGACACCTGGGTCGGTTACACGGGCGTGACGTGTTCTGTGACATGACACCTGGGTCGGTTACACGGGCGTGACGTGTTTTGTGACATGACACCTGGGTCGGTTACACGGGCGTGACGTGTTCTGTGACATGACACCTGGGTCGGTTACACGGGCGTAACGTGTTCTGTGACATGACACCTGGGTCGGTTTCACGGGCGTGACGTGTTATGTGACATGACACCTGGGTCGGATACACGGGCGTGACGTGTTCTGTGACATGACACTTGGGACGGATACACGGGCGTGACGTGTTCTGTGACATGACACCTGGGTTGGATACACGGGCGTGACGTGTTCTGTGACATGACACCTGGGTCGGATACACGGGCGTGACGTGTTCTGTGACATGACACCTGATTCGGATACACGGGCGTGACGTGTTCTGTGACATGACACCTGGGTTGGATACACGGGCGTGACGTGCAAGGACATACAGCCATAGAGCGCCACTTGTCACCTCCGGGTGAAGCTTATACAGACATAGAGCGCCACTTGTCAACATCAGTGCAAGGACATACAGCCATAGAGCGCCACTTGTGACGTGACGTGTTCTGTGACATGACACCTGGGTCGGATACACGGGCGTGACGTGTTCTGTGACATGACACCTGGGTTGGATACACGGGCGTGACGTGCAAGGACATACAGCCATAGAGTGCCACTTGTGACGTGTTCTGTGACATGACACCTGGGTTGGATACACGGGCGTGACGTGTTCTGTGACATGACACCTGGGTCGGATACAC